TATTGAGTTGTATTATTATCATTTTTTGCAAATGTTTTCTTCCCAAGTGCCTTGCTTTTGTATTTTCATGCCAGTATCTTTTGATACGGAAATTTTAATTTTGACATTTAGTTCATCAATTTTATTATTATTTTATTATTTTTATGGTTCACAGTATGTCTATCTTACATAAGGAATCATTGCCAAACATGGGATCATAAAGGTATTTCTCTTTTTCTTTTTTTAGAGTATTTTTTTGTGTGTGTGTGTTTCATTTTTGAATTACATTCAGTATGTAGAATCAGTGTTTATTTTTCCTCCAAATATTCAATTATTCTAGTACTATTTATTGAATAAACTCTGATTTCCACAATTGAATTATTGTGATATCTTTGTTGGAAAGTAATTGTCTGGGTCTATTTCTGGCCTTTTTAATTATCTTCTATTATAATCTGCCTGTATAATCTTGTCTTGATTGATATAACTCTATTGGAAGTCATGGATCATAGTACAAGACCTCTGACTTTGACCTTTCCATAAATATTTTTTGCAAACTTAACACCAAAAAAATAAATAACCCAGTCAACAAATGGGAAAAGAAACTGAACAGACACTTCATAGAAAAGAAATACAGTTAACAAATATATGAAAAAATGTTCAACATCTCTAGCAATTAGAGAAATGTAAATTAAAACTACACTGATATTTCATCTCACTCCAGTAAGAATGGCAGTTATCAAGAATACAAGTAACAAATGTTGGCAAGAGTGTGGGGAAAAGGGTATGCTCATACATTGCTGGTGAGATTGCAAATTGGTGCAACCACAATGGAAAGCAGTATGGGGATTCCTCAGAAAACTTGGAATAGCATCACCATTTGACCCAGTTATCCCACTCCTCAGTTTATACCCAAAGGACCTAAAAATCACCATGCTACAGTGACACAGCCACATCAATGTTTATAGCAGCTCAATTCACGATATTTAAACTATGGAACCAACCTAGGTGGCATTTAACAGATGACTGGATAAAGAAAATGTGGTATATATACACAATGGAATATTACTCAGCTATAAAGAAGAATGAAATTATGGCATTTGCTGGTAAATGAATGGAACGGAGACTATCATGCTAAGTGAAATAAGCCAGTCCCAGAAAACCAAGGCCAAATATTCTCTCTGATAATGTGGTGCTAATGCATAACAAGTTGTAGGGTAGGAAAGGGAATGGGGGTGGGAATAGGAAAGACAAAAGAATGAGTCAGACATAACTTTCCTATGTTTATATATCAGTGTAACTCCACACCATTTACAACCACAAGAATGGGAAGTTATACTCCATGTATGTATAATATGTCAAAACACATTCTACTGTCATGTATAACTAAAAAGAACAAATAAAAAATTTTTAAAAACATTTTTTGCTTTAGGTACATTTTATGTACTTTACATAAAGTAATTAAGTTGAACCTTTCTAATTAATGATTTAAATCAGATCATTCCTTTAGGAATGTTTATTTTTAAAATACTAAATTTAAAAGTCAAATAATTATTTCATCAAACATATTGTGGGTTTTTTGTGGGTTTTTTTTTTTTTTTTTTTATGCTCATATATCCTTTATTTCAGCTTTACTATTATCAATTGGATTAGAACTTTAGGAAATGTTGAATGGGCAAGATCTGATGTTTGTATATTCAAATGATTACTACCAGGTGGAAGAGAGTGAATTTGACATCAGATGCCCCATGAAATGAATCTCCAGTTGTTAGGCTGCAATCATTTGAACACTTGATTGGGGCAAAAGGTTTGCTTCTAAGATGTCCCTCACTCAAGGGTCAGGAGGTCTCTATTTCTTCCTAAATGGGCCTTCTTCCTAAATGGAACATTTTGAAAGCTCTGTGACAACTGCAGCTAGCTTCCTTCACAGGTTATGATTCATGATTCATAGAGAAGGAGGAAGTCACAATGCCGTTTATGACATATCACACATCGTCATTTGTGACATAGACTTTGGTGGAAGAAGTTACCAAGCACTAAGTGCATTCACAATCAAGGCAAGGGATATCAGGCTTTACCTACTGAAGGCAGTATCAATCTATATCACTGACCAAGTAGAGGTAAGCAATGGAAGACATATAGAATACCTTTTGACAGTGACTTCCCAGAACTTCATTAAAATGTTCTAGGAAGAGAGAAAATTTGACTTCAGGTACCCCACGAAATTACTCTTGGGTTGTGAGGCTGCAGTCATTTGAAGGCTTGATTTTCCAAGGAAAATAATTTTGACATTGTTTCTAAGACCAAGACTATTACTAACACTTGGACTGTTATTGAGATACATACTTCTGTACCATTGCTGTACTCATTCCACTTAGGAAGTCTAAAATTCATGTATCTGAAGGAAAGCACCTAAAACAATTATAAAATTCAACTTTTTTGCTGAAGTTTTGTTTAGGAAATTTTTAAAATAAAGTGATTCTCAATTAGGACTTAGAAAAAAGTCCTGTTTATTTCAGATGCTGGGAACTGGGAAGAAGGCTCATGTGAACTGGTCAAAAGTATGAATTATAGAATGTCTTTAGAAAATCCAACTTTTGAGTAACTTAATTTTGTTATAATTTCAAACTTAGAGAAAATCTTAAGAATAGTATAAAAAACTCCTATATACTCTTTCTCTGGATTCACCAATTATTTTCTGCCATTTGCTTTATTATCTTGCCTGAGCCAAATCAACTTAAAACCATATAGGTAAACCTATAGTTGATAAAATTAGGTTTACTGACTCTTGGAGTGAAATTACAGACCAGAGGAGCCATAGGGCTTTTCACAAAAAAGGGGGAGAAAAAGCATTCTTACAGGGTTTTGGAGCATTAACATTTAGGTGAAATATTAATGAAGCAGAGGGCTGGGGTTGTGGCTAAATGGTAGAGCCTAGTGTATGTGAGGCACTGGTTCAATCCTCAGCACCACATTAAATAAACAAACAAATAAATAATTAAAGATGTTGCTCCCATTTGCAACTAAAAAAATAAAAAGAAAAAGAATATGTAAATGCAGCGCCATATAAAAATAAATGAATAAAATAAAGGTATTACACCCATCTACAACTAAAAAAAAAAAATTAAAAAATATATATAAATGAAGCAGTGTTTTGATAGGCTCAGAGCAAGCCAGGGCTGTGTTTAAAGGAGTCAGCATCAGCTGTGGACTACAGAGTGGACCCAGAGTCTTGTCTCCTCGAAATGTATAAAATGATGTGTTCCAAAAGCCCTGATCTAAAATTCTGTACATCTGTTGGAAAGCAAGATTTCTTCTCTGCATCAAAGTTGCTTAGGGTTTCCTAACAAAAAATATTTCAGAAAATTTCCTTATTTTCCATTCCAGTCATTTTCCTACCTACAAGCATTGTTCTGATATTTTTCATAATGGCATTGCTTTGCCTGTCTTAGAACTTTATATGAATGAAATCAAATGTATTTAAATAGTGTGTAGTTTCATTTGCTCAGCATAATGGCTGTGAAATTCATCTGATGCATCTTTTCATTGCCGAGTAATAGATTGTGATCCTCAATAACTTGACCAGTTAGGGCAGTCTGTAGTCATTGTATGAGCATGTACAAACACCAGAAGTACCATCATCTATAGAAAATCATTAGTGCATGTCAAAATATAAATGTGTGTGTGTGTGTGTGTGTGTGTATGTATATATATATATATATATATATATATATATATATATATATATATCCATCCAAGAGACAAAGGATTACTTCTTTAACCCTTCTTTAAATAATTGTGGATTTTCTTAAGAAATAGCAATCTTGGTAACATAGAAGTTGAATTTTTAAAAGGAAAAAACAAAATATTAGTCTTGGGATCAGTATGATTTGAAGAGTTGGGCTATAACTGTTTATGAAAGCACAAAAGCATTGTATAAGAAATTCATATTTAAATTCAGAACAGTTCTTATAGTCAGTATGAAATCTGAAGTCTAAATTGTAAGAGAATGATATCAGTTTATTTTCATGCATAGTAGTAGCACATTATCCTCTAGCCACTCAGTTATGGGTTGTTCTATTTCTACTTTCTATAAACTTTGACAGATGTTTATCTTTCTGTGCATTGATTTTGCAACTATAAAATGAGATTTATTTACCTAGTAGCATTACAGTTTATTCTTTTTCATTTAAATTTCAAGAACTTTTGCATACCTTATTAAACTTGAATCTCATAATAAAATTTCAGTAAGCTGTTCATATGCCTCTAGTAAAGTCAAACTAATGTTATTAAGATGTCTTCTTCAGGCCTTTGATCTTTTAGGGAAAAAGTTGTATTTCAGTAATTGTAACTAGTTTTATTTGCTTAATAAAAGATAGTTCAATTTCTTTAAGTATTTGAGCAGTTGAATACTACTATACTACAGAATGTAATGAGGCAGTCAGATGCTCACAGCTCTATATTGAATACCTTGAATGCAACAGCCACAAATATAAACTTAATAAAAGGATTATTTTATATACTAATCAAATACAAACTGATGATGTGATTTTCTTTTTCGAAACAGTGAACAATTCTTGGTAAAATTTTGAACAGAAACAAATTTATATGGACATTACAGTCTACAAATGTTGATTTAGTCCTAACGGGGGAGGGGGTGGAGAAAGACTTGCTATTTATGTATAACAAAGGCTCTAGGTTATACGAAAATCTAGACCATTTGTTGTAGAGGACTTCTTGGTGTACTGGAAAATGTCCTGTAGTTCTGACCTCTTTCCACCAAATATCAATAGTCATCATAAGTGTTTTGATAACTAAACATTCCCTCCAATTAAAAACAGTCTTCAGACTCTGTCATCCTTGCTGATAACTAACGTTCTTATTTGGGCTAAGGTGAAGAAATTAAGTACTATACTAGAGTAAGAAATGATTATGTGACTCATTTAATCATAACTAAATTTAATTTAAATGATAATTTTGAGACTTCAAAAATTAAGTTGGGTGTATGTTCTTATTTTTCCTAGTAAAATGAATGAAAATAAACCTGGTGACTCACAGACTCTTGGTAAGTAACTATATTTAAAACATTTCCTTTACAGTACATCTTTTTAGAATACTGCCCAATCAATAGGAATGATTTTTCTGATGCATGCATACTTTCTATGGCCATGTACTAAAGTATATTATTAAGAGTATTCATTTTCACAAACAAATCTATTAGAGGACAATTTTTTCACCAATATTTATTTGTAGTCTGTATATGTTTTATATTTATTTTATATAGTATCTGTTGGCTTACAACCATGAGAGATGAAGAATCTAAATTGTTACTCTATACTCTTCTGCCACTATTTCTCCCTCATCCAGTTTTTTAGATTTTTAAAAATTCCCTCTAAAAATATTACACTTACATTTCTCAACCATCAATTTTAGAGATTTTCTGTGGACTCTACCTCATTTGGAATAGGGAAATTGGTTCCTAAACTTCCCTGAACTCTCTTTTCTTTGCTTCTGCCTCCAGTCTTCTATCAACTATGCTGATAGTTGTAAAATTTTAATAATTTGTGTACTACCTTCATTCATTTGCCAAATGCAAATTCATCCGTACTTTTTCTTCCTTGATTTTTCCCAAGATTAACTTTTTACTTATACGAATGCGTTTAAGGAGGAAGCTTTATTCTGTTATTATAATGAAAACCAGTATCATTTGCTATCATAGAGGGTAATCTTAATTATAAATATGATAAAGTCAGAACAATTTTACTGAATTTTAAACATTGAAAAACCAGCAAGTACAAATACATGCAAAAGTGATTTTCTAATAAAAATACTTTCCTGAGTCGGGTGCAGTGTTGCACACCTGTAATCCCAGCAGCTAGGGAGACTGAGGCAGGAGGATTGCTAGTTCAAAGTGAGCCTCAGCAACTTAGTGAGGCCCTAAGAAACTCAGTGAGACCCTGTCTCTAAATAAAATACAAAAAAGGCCTGGGGATGTGGCAATGGTTAAGTGCCCCTGAATTCAGTCCCTGGTACCAAAACAACAACAACAACAAAGCATGTCTGAAACCTACTCTATCCTGCATCCAAGGCCCTCCATATTGGGAGAAAGGAGACAAGAGAAATGGAAACAAAGGAAATCCACAATAGCAAATGCACCTTAATACAGGATTTGTGAGAAGGACTGTGGTCCCTTCTATGGTCTCTGCTACTTTATGAGGACTCTTCTTTCTACATGGTCTCTGCTAATTCTGTGTATTTCTCTTCCTCTTAATAGCAGCCTGTACACTATAACTAAAAGTATAGCTATTAGGGACAGAAGAGTTAACTAGTGTGTAAAGTGTCTGATATGAACAAATGGTAGTTTGCTGGTGTTAATGTGAACAGGTTCTTTGTATGGAGAGGAAGGGAGCAAAGATGATGAGGGGCTCTAAGTTATGATATATTAAACTAGAGTTAAAGAGGGCCATATAGTAAGGATATTTCACATTATGAAATTTAGCTGGTACTGTTCCTTTTAAGTGCTGGATCTATTTTATGAATAGCCTGTTAATAAAGTACTTTTCAATGCATCCATTATGATTACACTTATTTATCAAGGTAAATAACACTATATATATATGTATACATATACCTGCTGTAGTAGGTAAACTCTGAAGTCTTTTTTTTTTTTTTTTTTTTTTTAAAAGAAAGAGGGGAGAGAGAGAGAGAGAATTTTTTTTAATATTTATTTTTCAGTTCTCGGCAGACACAACATCTTTGTTTGTATGTGGTGCTGAGGATCGAACCCGGGCCGCACGCATGGCAGGCGAGCGCGCTACCGCTTGAGCCACATCCCCAGCCCAACTCTGAAGTCTTAATGCTTTAACACAATAAAAGTTTATTACTTTGTCAGGTTATAGTCCAGTGTGAATTTAGGGAAGATAGAAGGTTATGCTTTGTTTTTAATTCAAACTCCATCTTGTATGGATCTGCTACCTTGAGATGTTCAGCCTCTTCTCTTTAGCTAGTGGTAGTCTACTTGTTTCATTGTAATATTAATAGAATTTTAATAATTGCATAAGGTATATAAGATAAACATGAGACAGAAAGACTGGTAATTATAGTACTGACATTTATTCATTTCTTTCTGTGTGCCACACCCTTCTAATTATATTTATGTGCATTGTTCCTTTTTATCCTCATTAAGGACACACATAGTTTGAGATAAATACTATTGTTGTCCTTTTTTGATGGGATGTAGAGGCACTTAACCACTGAGCCATATCCCCAGCCCCAGTTTATATTTTTTATTTAGAGACAGGATCTCCTTGAGTTGCTTAGGGCCTAAGTTGCTGAACTCATGATCCTCCTGCTTCAGCCTCCCAAGATGCAGGAGTTATAGGCATGCGCCACCACACCTGTTTTCCTCATTTTTAAGATGAGTAAATGGAGTCATAAAGTACTATAGTGAAATGTGCCAGGCACAGAAAGACAATATTTTGCATGATCTCACTTGGATGTGGAATATGAAAAAATAGAACTCAACACAGCAGAGTAGAAAGTTAGTTACCAGGGGCTGTGGTTAGTGGGTAAGGTAGCAATTGGAAAGATGCTGGTCAAATGATTCAAAATTTCAGTTAGGTTAATTTGACCTTCCTCCCCGCACTCTGGTGCTGGGTATTGAACCTAGTACCTCACGAATGTTAATAAGAAAGTAGAGTTTAAGGGTTCTCACCACAAATACATGGTAAGTAAGTATTTTAACTCTAATGTATGTGATGATTAGCCATTCCACAATATATATATTTTGAAACATCATGTTGTATACCATAAGTATATATAATGGTGGCGGGGCGGGGGTGGAGTGGGGAGTGTGAAGCCAAGTCTTAATTTAGATCTCTCTGACTTCCCAAGTTTTCTTTGTGTGTGTGTGTGTGTGTGTGTGTGTGTATATATATATATATATATATATATATATATATATATATATATATACATACATATACACACACATTATTTGAACTATTTAGAAGGGTACATTTTATTTTATTTTATTTTGGGTACTGGGGATTGAACCAAGGGGCAGTCAAGCACTGAGCCACATCCCCAGCCCTTTTTTTTTGTATTTTATTTAGAGACAGTGTCTCACTGAGTTTCTTCCGGCCTCACTAAGTTGCTGAGGTTTGCTTTGAACTCAAGATCCTCCTGCCTCAGCTTCCCAAGCCGCTGGGATTACAAGCTGTGCACCACCACACCCAGCCAAAGGGTACATTTTAGTTTGTTCACAAGGCTGTGAAACCATCACCATGATCTAGATCACCTACAAAGGAGACTACTCATTAGGTAGTCACTTCTCATTTTCCCTGACTGCAACACTAATCTGCTTTTTCTCTAGATTTACCTATTCTGTATAATGTAACCCATTATGTAGATGAAATCATATAATGTCTTTTTATGCATGATTTCTTTTGCTTAATGTCATTTATTAGCTTATCTGTGATGTTACATATATCGGAACATCTTTGCTTTTAATTGCAAAATAATATTATATTGTATGGAAATACTGTAGTTAAGGTTTGTTTCTACTTTGGCTATTGTGAAAAGTACTGCTGTGTACATTCACTTGAACATCTGTGTTCAGTTCTTGGCTTGTATACCCAGGAATGGAATTGCTGTGTCATGTGGTACCTTTCTGACATTTTGATTTTAGCTTTCTTTATGTGTGTTAGGTGTTATTTTATTGTGGTTTTGTCTGTTGACTGCCTAGTGATATAAAGCATCTTTAATGTGTTTAGTGATTATTTGTGTATCTTCTTTGGAGAAATAGGGATGAGATCCTTTGCCCATTTTTAAATTGGGTTGTTTGTGGTTTTGTTATTGGGTTGTAAGAGTTTCTTACACATTCTGGATACTCCCTTAACAAATGTTTCCCAAATATGTTCTCCCATTTTATAGAGTGATTTTTCACTCTCTTAGTAAGAGCACAGAAATTTAAATTTTGATGAAGTCTAATTTATCTAGGCTTTTGTTACTTCTGCTTTTCATGTCATGTGAATTATAAGGAACTATTGCCAAATCCAAGGTCATGAAAATTTACCCCTATCTTTTCTAAGAGTTTTATATTTTTGGCCCTTATGTTTAGGCCCTTGGTCTATAGTGAAATCAATTTTTAGGTATGGCATAAGGTGGGGGTTCAACTTTATTATTTTACATGTGGCTGTGCAATTGTTTTAGCACCATTTACTGAAGAAATTTCTTTCCCCATTAAACTTTGATAACCTTATCACAAATAAATTGTTCATAGATGTTAAGAGTTTATTTCTGGATTCTTTTGTACTGATTTACTATCTCTATACTGATTTGATCACTGGTTTTGTTGTAAATTTTTACTCTTTTCTTTTCTCTGTCAGTCTAGCTAAAAATTATGGAGTTTGTTGATCTTTTCAAAGAACTAGCTTTTATATTAATTGATTCTATTGTTTTTCTGTTCCCTATTTTGTTTATATCTGTTTTAATCCTTTTTCTTTCTTTCTTTTTTTTTTTTTAAGAGAGAGAGGAGAGGGAGGGGGAGAGAGAGAGAGAGAATTTTTTAATGTTTATTTTTTTTAGTTTTCGGCAGACACAACATCTTTGTTTGTATGTGGTGCTGAGGATCGAACCCGGGCCGCACGCATGGCAGGCGAGCACGCTACCGCTTGAGCCACATCCCCAGCCCCCTTTTTCTTTCTTGCTTTTGCTAGTTTTGGATTTAGTTACTCCTCTTTTTCTAGTTCTTAAAGGTATAAAATTAATTAGGTTACAATTTGAGAGCTTGCATTTTTTTCATATAGGCTTGTATAAACCTAAAGATCAACCAAAGGTAAAAGTTTAGGGTTTCTGATGTCTTTTTGAAATTATATACCTCCATTGGTATGCACATGCATTCTCCTGTGTATATAGGAATTTTTAAAAATCCCTTATTTAACCCATATTTACTTTTATTTTCTAGTCTCTCTCTCTTTTTTTTTTTCCCTAGACATTTTGGTCTGTCAGCTACTTTAAAGCTATTATCTTCTGTCCTTGGCTATTGCAGCTAGCATTTTTGTTTTAACCTTATAAAAGTTCTGAGGTAGACAAAAACAAAAATAAGTATCTGAGCCCATCCCTCAGGGACCTGCCATATAGTTCAAAACACATAAATCACATATATTTTGGAACAAGGTTCAGTAGGTATTGGAGGGGCTGGGTTTGTGGCTCAGCAGTAGAGCACTCGCCTAGCATGTGCAAGGCCCTGGGTTCGATCCTCAGCACCACATAAAAATAAATAAAGGTATTGTGTCCAACAACAACAACAAAAATAAATATTTAAAATAAAAAGAATTTAACACATCAACTGAGAGAAACACCAATTCCATGAATCATTTTGAAATTTTAAAATATATTTTGTCTGTTTACTTTTTTTATTATTAGCTTGTGTTTTCTGCCGAAAAAATGATGACTGTCCTAATAAATATGGAGAAAAGAAAACAAATGAGAAGTGGAATCTCACTGTACATTACTATTGTTTGGTGAGTACAATTTATAATTAAATTCTATAAATTTGGTGAGAATTAGATTCTGACACTGATTTCTGAGAACTGGACAAATTGTTTCTATGTGTTAAGATGGTACTTTTTAATATATCAAATTCTACGGCTCTGAAATTACGTTGTATATATATAGATCTATCATTACCTGTTTGTCTAACTGGGAGGGGGAAAAAAGGAAAAAATGATTAGGTCTGTAAAGGAAGGGTTCTTTTTATCACTTATTTCCTTACTTACTAGTGACAAGTCTCAAAAGAGGGTTCAGGGAGTAGAAGGAAAGTATTTATTTCACAGACTCCAGAAGGAAAAGTTCTGGCTAAAGGTATTAAATATAAGTGGAAAAGGAAACAGGTTAATGTATAATAGATCACTCAGAAAAAAGTAAAACTGATCTGTTTCCTCTTCTCTCTGCCAACTTCTCATCACACTGAATCTCTTCCTTAAGGTAGCGGTGCCATTAATACCTTAGCATGCCAAGGTTGTATTTGTACATATCTTAGAATTTGATAAATAGGTAAGTTATCTATCATCATTTAACTAATTATTCTGAAATTTAGCAGATTAAACCAACATTTTTCCCCCAACATTTATTATCACAGTTTCTGAGGGTCAGGAATCTGATATCTGCCGAGTTGGATAGTTCTGACTCATAGTCTCTCATGAGATACTTATCATCGTGTCAGCCAAGTTACATCTGAAGATTTTACTAGGCTAGAGAATCTACCTACACTGGCTCACGTGCCTATGACCACAGTTCCTCCTAGCTATTGACAAGAGGCCCCAACTCCTTACCATCCTGTGCGTCTCAGTAGGGCTATTCATAGTATGTTATTTGGTTCCCCGCAAAAGCAAGGGATGAGAGACACAAACCAGATGGAATCATATTACCTAGTCTTCACAATCACCTGTCTCTATCCCTTTTGCTTTATTGTATTTGTTAGAAGTGATTATTAAGTCATAGCCTATACTCATAGGAACAGGAATTAAGCTCCATCTCTTGAAGGAAGGAGTATTAATAGATTTATGGATATATTTTTAAACACACCACCATCTGGGTTAAATTCTTTAACTGCTTCTTTGGAAAACCATCTAAAGTATTCCTTTGTGGTCCTCTAAATACTAAGGTTTTCTGTCTCAGGTACTCTGTCGGTTAAATATACTTGAACACTGGTCTAATCACCTTGTACGGTGTCTTCAGAGAACATGAAGTTGGCATTCTAAATATGCTCATATCTAGTTCTTAATATGTATCACTTGTTTTTCAGAACACTATATTGATGAAAACAAACTTACATTTTTTAGAACATTATATTGATGAAAACAAACTTCTAATTATAAACTTGCTCTGCTGAAGCATATTTTAATTATTTAATTAAGTTGAGCATATCAAAATTTATCTTAGAGTCTGTCTTATAAATGAATATAATACTTCAAAAGAAGTATTGACCCCAAGTTCAACCCTTTTAAGATTCTGTTTCATTATGAACAGGGAAATATTGTAATGTTACAAGTGGAAACAGAATGTTAGAACCAAAAGAGACTTAGAGACATGTTTAAGGTAACAACTTTAAATTCCTTGCCTAGAGGTTCCAGAAGGTTAGGCACAGAGCCTGGTTTGTAGGCCAGTCCTTTTTTTTTTTGATTCATGCTTCCTTAACATATTTAAACTGTGAAGTTAAAATGAGATTTTTGAAAAGAGAAACATTTGTTATCAATGATTGATTCAATAGGTTTCCCTACAACTATGCCTTTTATGATTCAGAATTCCAGTAGATTTAAAGTTAGCCTGAAAGAGCACTGATAATCTGTATTGGCTCCATGGATTTCAATTTATTATTACATTTACAGTATTTTGTATTTACCACTCCTTTTTTCTAAAACTAAATTTTCGGTGTTCTTCCACCCCCCCCCCCACCACCAATTTTCCTTCCCATCCACCTATATTCATACATTCCCTTTCTACCATCTTTTTTATTGTTGTTGTTCCTGAAATACTTTTAGAGTTCAGTTTGGGTATATGAACTATTAATATAGTGTCTTCCAAATCAAAGGATGTAAATAGCTTCTTACTTTGGCCAGGAAAAATAGTTATTTTAAATATATATTTGAAATTTGAGTCATTTATGTCCATTTTTAATAGAATAAATTATAGATTTTAATCCAAATTAGTTTTTTGGAATTTATTTTCTCATTGAATATGTTCATAGTTGATGTCAAGTGGAATTTGGCAGAGAGGTAAAGAAGAAGAGGGAGTTTATGGTTTTCTAATAGAAGACATCAGGAAGGAAGTGAATAGAGCATCTAAATTGGTAAGTAAATTATTTTACTCATTACACTAGAAATTTATGACTTTTTAATCTGGGCATGGTGGCGCACCCTTCTAATCCAAGGTTCTCTGGAAGCTGAGAGAGGAGGATTGCAAGTAGGTCAGTCTTAACTTAGGGATGTCATTCAGTTGGACATCTTGGATTCAGTCACCAGTACCACTAAAAGGATATAAAGGGAGAGAGGGAAAAAAAAAACTTAACGACTTTAATTTTGTTTCAATGTATATTTTTGTTGAATATAGTAAGTTTTAATAAACAATTGGTATTTTTGCAAATGAGAGTTTAACTGACCCTGAATAAATTCATATGACAATACTGTAATTCATATGACAATACTGATTTCTCTTTCTTATTCAACCTACCCATTATTTTACTCACTCTTAAATCAGCATATGACCATAGTTCTATCCCTGCTGATCTACAAACATTTAATTCTGAATCACGACAACCATTTATTTTTTTTATTTCTTATAGCTCAGTTGCAGAGGTTGAAATGAGTGGAGGTTAAAATTTATACAACTATGAAATAATTTATGATCTCCATAACTCTTGTGACCCTGATATGACATTGTATGTTTATGTTCAGTGAGTGTCCCCTTCTATTCTCCAAGATAGGCTTTCTAAATTTTAACCCCTTGTCCATTAAATTATTTGTGAATCTTCTATATGATTGCTACCTTGCTATGTGCAAGGAAAGGGACTGTAGGTCTCCCTATGGTCTGAATAGAAGTAATGATAGAGAATGAATGAGAAGATTGAAATTATAGGAGCTTAAACATCCTTTTGGAGAACACTGTTCATCCCACTAGAGGTATCTAATACTTCTTCATTTTGGTTAGGACAGAGTAATTTTAGCTAGTATTTTACAAATTCAACTTTATTATTATTTTCCTATTCTTGGAATTTTTAAATTTTTATAATTTCCATTAAGATTTTATTGCAACTTTCATTTGTAACTATTATGTTTATAATATTTAACTCATTACACTATATACCATAAAAATTGTCAATACTTGCAAAGTCTTTTCTATCAATTTCTGAACTAGAAATTTATGACTTTAAGCCAGGCATGGTGGCAAATACCTGTAAGTTTAAAATGTTTTAGTAAGTAGGAAGGAAAGGGGACTTCTTCCTTATAGCAGTGAGTCTTTGATATCTTTAGATTATTTCAGAAAAATTTTTTAAATATACTATCATTACAACCATTATGATGAAAATAATTTTCAATCTCCCCATAGGAAATATTCACTAATACCTTGATCATATTATAGTACTCAATTTTTTTTTTTTTTTATATTGTGGCTCTGTTTTCATGTTTTCTTCTAGAAATGCTGTGTTTGTAAGAAAAATGGTGCTTCAATTGGATGTGTTGCACCTCGATGTAAAAGAAGTTATCATTTCCCATGTGGACTTCAGAGAGAATGTATTTTCCAGTTTACTGGCAACTTTGCGTGAGTTACTTAACTGTTAAACATGAAATGTGAATGTTAAAGAATAGTTGAAAATGAATATCACAATATAATTCCCTTAAAATTACAAAGTAATTTTACATGTACATACTGTACATACTGAGTTTATATGTACATGCTGTATATGTTTGGGTGTGTATGAAAGATATTTATAAGCTATATCACCCTCTTATAGCATTATTTTTGTCTGCTGAGTCTTGAAAATAGCAGTGTTTAGAATGGGCCTGATGATTAATAGTCACCTGCAACTTTCAACTCTAGGAAATAATATTGAACTTCAGATTTATTTATATTCAGTAAAAATTTCTACCTTACATTTTTCTAGATTTTGATGTCACTGTTTAGAATTAGTAGTCCAACTTTCTTTCACAGGGCCATATATATTTCTCAAGAAGTAAATTGAAGGGCTGGGACTATAGCTCATTGGTAGAGTGCTTGCCTAGCACATGTGAGGCCCTGGGTTTGATTCTCAGCACCACATAAAAGTAAATAAATGGAATAAAGGTGGTGTAGAAGATAATTCTTTTAAAAAGAAGAAGTAATAAATTGAAGGCATATAAATTTTATTGAGTCCAAAAAAATAAATATTGTGCCCTGGGATGCCCCTGAAAATATTTGCTTCCTGAATAACTTCAAATGTTAATATTTTATAAATTTTGGAATTAGGTATTTCTTTTTAAGTCTTCATATTTTGACCTATGTAATGGCTGTTACTATGTAAGAAAACAACAGTTTAGAAAATACAAGTGGAAATAAAGTAGATTAGTAATAGGTTATTATTATTTACATAATTCATATGATTAAAATATTTTAAGTGTAAGTTCCTGCCTCCTTTAATTGTATACAGTGTTGGGTTTAACAATATGTATACTTATTTGTTGAGACAAAAGTATACGTAATTTATATGTAATATTACATAGGATTCTCAGTATAACATTAGTTTTACTGAAATTTTGTATGAAATCTCACCACCAAAATTTTTGTTTTGAAAGGTCATAGAGACAAATTTTATACTGCAAGGCTCTAGTCTGTTGCAGATTATTTATGAGAGAGATGCAAGCAAATTTTCTCTTAAATTGCTGGGTCTTAAAATTCATGAGATATTATTCTTAAATATTTACATTTTAGGTCATTTTGTTGGAAACATCGACCTGTTCAAATAATTGCATCCAATAATTACAGAGATTCCTTACCATGCACCATTTGTTTGGAATATATTGAGCCTGTTCCTACTTATAACATACTACGAAGTCCATGTTGTAAGAATGCTTGGTTTCACAGAGACTGTTTACAGGTAAGATATGTTGTATAAGCTTTCTCTGAATGATATAAAATTTTATTGTTTGCTGATTTGAATTTTGAATTAGAATTGGAACGTGCAGATGTTTGGGATTGAACTCAATGCTTTGTGGATGTTGGGCAAATACACTTCTACTGCTGAGCCACATAACCATCCCTACTTGGTACTTCTTAAAGTAACTAAAGCATTCAATTTCTAGCATATTATTCATATGAAATTTTTCCTATTTATGGGTACAGTGAGCATTTAATAAATACTTTAGATGCCACCTTTTAATATATTTTTGCTTATAAAATTTTGTTTTTACCTAAGGAGTTTGTATTTCACAGTGAATAAAACACAAATTTTAATTCCTAAGTTCCATTTAAATGTTCAAGCTAGAAAACCAGGAATTGGCTACTAGTAAGTAATACTGAGGACTTAAATTTTTTTTTTTAACTATAATAAACTCTTTATCATAACTCCTTGACAGGAAAGTGATTGCTGTTGGTGAATTGAAAATATTGGTTCTTCTAAAGTCAGTTTGTACATCAAACACATTGACTATTTTTCAAATAAACAGTATTATAAAACACTGGACATTGGAGCTAGGGATGTAGCTCAGTGGTACAGCACTTGCCTAGCATGCACGAGGTTCCTTGTCCAGCACTGCAAACACCCACACACATACAACATTAAACATAATTTACTATTTCTTTGTTTAGGAAAACTCAAGAATATTTTAATAAGATCCCAACTATTAATAATATTAAATATGTAGTATACATGTGTGAAAGTTCTACCTGTTAGACATAATGCAATGCCAAATAACAAAGGATTTACTTAAGTTTAATCCTTTTTTTTTTTTTTTTTTTTTTGGTAGTACTTGGGGTTGAAACTAGGACATGCTAGGCAGTCCGCCTCCCAAGTAGCTAAGATAGGTATGTACCATCCCACCCAGCTAGGTCTGGTTTAACTTTTTTTTTTCCTTAAAATTAGGATATATAAATTTATTTATATTTCAATGAAATCTTAAAATTCCTAACATAGTCAAAGGACTTTAGTAGATCTTGGATGGCTATTTTCTATTTCGTACTTTTTACTTTTTTGTATGGTCCTTGAACTTTTATACTTAAGACCATCAAGGAAAATAAGAGCCAGGTACAGTGGTACATGCCTATAATCCCAGCGGCTCAGGTGGCTGAGGCAGAAGGATTGCGAATTCAAAGCCAGCCTCAGTAACCATGAGGCACTAAACAATTCAGTGAGAATCCTGTCTCTAAATAAAATATAAAATAGGGTTGGGGATGTGCTCAGTGGTTGAACTCCCCCCTGCAAAAAAAAAAAAAAAAAAGTTGCATCAGAGCCTATTTTATTGGGGAAATATTAGAAATTCTGGTAATTGTTGCAAAAAGTGTGCATAAAAGCATCCCAGGGACTGCAGTTAATAAACAACATCATAAAGTATTATCCTTAGCTATTGAGGAAGAGGTTCACATGTGAGAATTTTTAAAAGGTAATTTTTCCTAATTTAACAGTTTATATTTGAATAAATGTAATTGCCAACAAATGTGTCTTGTTAATTTTCTGTTATTATTCAAAACAAATAAGATTTGCCTCACTTATGTGTTAATAATGAAGCAGAGAGAGGGTCTACGACTTGACCTGGTATTTGTAGGGGTCTTGTGAAACTGAAAATACTGAGTTTTAATTGTCATTGAAAAGTAGAAATACTATTCCTAACAAAAAAGTAGAGCTATTTTATGCAAATTAATTTATAATCACAGCCTCACAGACACTTGTCTGTGATATAAATATCAATAAGCCATTGTTACTTGATTTGCGCATACTAAGGACTAATTCTAGAGTCACTTTCTCTAAAAGACCTCCAGTGGCTTTTTCGTTTTGGTGCCAGAATCTCAAATGAAATATAGTATGTACTCTACCCAGCCTAGATAGCTGTATGTTGTTAAACAAATATCATTATTTAAAACCACTAACAAGTGCTATACGTAGGAATTTTGTGAGAAGAGATTAAAGGTTAGAATCAAAGGAATTGGTAAGAACTCACACCCCCCCCCCCCCCCCCGCCTTATATATATAGCCTTCTAGTAGCAAGGAATTGTCACTATTCTTGATTAGTTTGGATATCTCTGTCATCGAATTGGTGTTTTCCATGTGTCCTATACTGTTTTTTTTTCCCTCCCTTCCAAATACTTTCTTATAAAATATCTTATATTTAGTAAGATCTCAGCATGTATCTGCAATTGCTTAAAGCTCCTTTAGGTTCATAGATTTTGGTAACTTGTTGCTTCTCTCTCATGTGTTCAATGTTGAGTGTACCATTTATTAGTTCTCTGAACCTGAGCTCCTCTTTACTTACTTTTTTCCTTCACACTAACTGTTCTGCTTCTGGTTTATATTTACCCATCTGGCTTCATTACTTAGTTCAGCTTCACCAGAATGTAATCCCTAAATATATTATTAATTGTTGTTTCCTAATTACTTGTTCTCTGTCTTTTCACAGAGGCTTGATATATGCCATTCCCTATCCTTGGACTATCTATTATCCTGTTTTCCTAGTAAACCTCTATTCTTCAAAACAGCTGTGGCCTCACTATCCCTGTAATACTTTTGTCATTGTAGACTAGGTACTTTTTCATTTTTCTGTCCATGAAGTTTTTAAGAAATCATCACTTGTACACAATATTATGGTTGTATACCTGTATTGTGTACTTGCTAAAACTCCTTGAAGTTTAGTCATTTTATGTCTCTATTTTTGATTCACAACATAGTATTTTCATCTATAAAGTATGAGTTAACATTTTTGTTTTTAATGAATGTGTGTGACTGGTTTTTTATTAGGGACTGACTACTCTTCCTAGTAGGCTTATAGCTTCCAGTTTCCTTCTGAATATACCACGTGACTTCTTTATTTGTGTTTGCTATAGCATTGGTAACAGGTTTTATACTTTCCCCATTTGGGGAAGAAAATTCAAGAGGTATAAGTGAAAAACAGAATCAGTAATGATTTATGAATAACATGTAATTAAACATTCTTTCTGGATGAAGTAGCTAAAGATTTTCACTGGTTTTCCCACAGTGTGGAGGACAACACAGTATTTAGGAACTGAAAATGCATTAGGCTACAAAAATTGAGAAAAATATTGGTGATGAATATAAAGCTGAACCATCTATTCGTTAGACCTGGGAATCAGGGACTCTCCAAATTTTAGCCGTGGGATAGCTTAGTTTATAAGTTTTGAGAACCACTAGTTATAGAAAATGTTTTCATAACATATAAAATGAAAAACAGCACATGTTCTATTATGTAATTCATAAACTGGTAACAGGCTTAAATTGTTAAAAATAGATTTTCCATTTTCCACTATAGGTTCAAGCAATAAATGCAGGAGTGTTTTTCTTCAGGTGTACAATATGCAGTAATACTGACACCTTTCAGAAAGAGATGTTAAGAATGGGAATTCACATTCCTGAAAAGTAAGTAATAGTTAGTCTTTTGACCAAAAAAAAAAAGTTATTTTAAATGTTTTAACTTTAGGATTTAATAACATTAGATATAATCATTTATGTTTGACTAAGTGATCATGGACAGGTAGCCATTTCCAATGGCAAGATATAAAGCTTACTTTTCCTCAGATTGCTGAGGGACTTTGACATAAATGTGTCATTTACTAATTTTTAGTCTCATTTTACTAAGTATTCCAACTGTCCAATTGATCAATTTATACACAAATCATCTTCGAAACAGTATTTATAAATTATCTAAGAGAATCAAAATGGTTTTAAAATGAGTGAGAAGAATTTTCTTAATGCTTAAAGATGAATCCAGAAGTAATTATAGTAAACCTGAAACTAAAATTTGGAAGTGAAATATTAGAAAAATGTAAGTTTTAGAAAATTTCTGCTTGATTTTTCACTTAAATGTTTGAAAATTTACTGTGAGATTAATTATAGGTTAAATGACATGATGGATTTATATATTGAAAAAAGAATATCCTAAAAACGACAGGTTTTTATCCTTGTTACTAAGTATGAGAAAGGTTTTTAGATTTATTACCAATCCTTTTATATAACATTTAGGTCAAAGTATATTTTATATCTTGCTTCATTTATAGGGATGCATCTTGGGAATTAGAGGAAAATGCTTATCAAGACCTTCTGCAGCACTATGAGCACTGTGATGTTCGAAGATGTCGTTGCAAAGAAGGGCGAGACTATAATGCACCTGATAGGTATTTCTGGAAACTGAATTGTGCTTAATGGTTCCTTTAAACCTTTAGCTGAGAAAGCTAGTGAAACAGTTTTGCTCTTTTAGGGAGTTTGATGTTTTAACTTGAGATAAAGTATATTTACATCTGTGTATGGAGGAATTTTTTTAGTACAGCTAACCTGTTTCTCTGGTATATTTTCATGAAGGTCCTTTTCCTAGATAAACAACATCCCATACAGTAGATATTAGCCATATGTGGCTATTGAGCCTTTGAAATATTGCTGTTCTAAATTGAGAGGATGCTTTAAGTTTAAAATACACTCTAAAGATTTAGTTCACTAGGACTGCCATAACAAAAGACCACAGACTGACAGATGACTTAAACAACAGATATTTGTTTTCTCAAAATTTTGAAAGTTAGAAGTACAAGATCAAGGTGATTACAGGTTTGGGCTTCTTCAGAGGCCATGGCTTACAAATGACTTTCCTCTAGCTGTGTCCTCTCATGGTTATCTCTCTGTTGGCTATGTCCTAATCATTTTTTTATGATGGCATTTGTCATATTGTTTTAGGACTTAACTATAGACTTCATTTTACTCTGATTACCTCTTTATAGCCCTTTTCTTCAAATATAATCATATTCTGAGGTAGTAAGCGTTAAAACTTACCTGAACATATGAATTTTAGGGGATTGGCACAAATCAACCTATAATCATATGAACAGAAAAACTTAAAATTATCTTTAAGTTTGTATTGATTAATATGTTAAAGAAAATGATAGTATTTTGCAAATAAAACATCTGAAGTAATTTTACCTATATTGTATTACATTTTTAAATGAGGCTACTAGAAAATTATAGTGCTTCTGTTGAACAGTAGTACTCTAGAGGGTAATTTAGATAGTTTAATCTGTTTCTTTTGGGTCATTATAAAATGGGTTTGGCATTTGAAATTTATTGATTACTCTTTTGTAATGTCAATACATATCTGCTTTTATTTTTAGTAATCATTTTGTGTCTTGTGTATTTCACTAGAGATCAAGAGTCTCTTTATTTAAGATGAGGATAAACGTCAACAAATCGAGTTTTATTGAAATTTATGTAGGAAATTTTAGTACATTATTATTCCTGTTACATAGTCTTCCTTAACATAGTCAACTTAGAGTGTAGAGTAGAATATTAGGAGCCTTATTTCTCATGGAAAGTGATTTGGCTGGATCAGCTACTATTTATTTGTGAAGAATTAGCTGAGGTCTGACCAACATTGGAAAGTTTACCCTAAGCAATTCTTCCTACTCCTGATTCCACATTCAAGGCTACAGATTTCCTTTATTGTGCTTGGTACAATATGTTTTCTGCATGTCATTTTCTGCATGTAACTATAAAGCACAATCCTTTTTCTTTTTAGCAGCATCTTTTTGAGATTGTTATCACATATTGCTTTTTCTCCTTGGACACAGATATCTGCTGACTGAACTCTTGCATTGTAAACTTAATCCCTCTTATCCCAGTGAGAGGAAGGCAGTATTGATGAAAAAGCAGCATGGTATAATAGATAAGAATATGGGTCTGAAGCCAGGTAAACTGGGTTGGAAACCTGACTGAGGCTTAACCAGTGTGACCTTGATTGGGCAAGTTATTTCTCCCTCTATGCTTAAATTTCCTCTTCTTGACAATGAAGGTAGCAATAGTTTGCCTTTAAAATTGTATTAAGCTCTTCATATAAAGAGTAAGAAGTTGACCTGTTGAATGAAATATGTATTCATGTTAGTTGTCATCTTCCTTCTCATCAGTGAGCAGACCTATTTGAGGAAGGAGAGACACATGCATACACACCTGCACACCAACCCACAGAGGGGGATGCTATGACCAAACCTACAGCAGAAGTGGGAGTATATTTAGCTACCCATCTTGCCACCCACATTTACACACACTCAAGAAGCTTATATCTGTTTTTGTACACTATTATCCATACAAAGAGGAGGGAGCCTCACACCACAATTCACACCCATACCGACAAGTAAATATGAATATGAACTGCCACATGTCACATGGCATAGTGGGGAAACATGGAGTGGTAGGGAGAAGATGAGAGAGAATATGAATATAAAGCCAGGTAGAAAGTCTGAACCCTGTTGTGCTCCGTAAGACCTGAAGTATCTGAGCAAGTTTTAGGAGATATTTACCTTGAAATGTACTGAATGTTTTTTCCTTATCAGACATACTGATACAGTAATCTTCTTGTGAACAAAGTCATCAAATATAAGAGGAAATGCTTTTTTTCCTCAGTCATACAGCCTTTCTAATGTTTCTATTCTTTGTGCATGTGCCTGTATGTATATATGTTCATACTAGCTTAGGGTTTTAAGTTAGGGGGATATTTAGAGAAGGTGATTACAAACATAATAAATGAAATTTTTAAATATATTTTAGAAAAAAGTAATATAGTATCAAAGCAAGATAATCTGTTTTTCCCTCTTTCATAAAAGGGTTAGTATTTGTATGGCAGAGGGCAGACCTGCTGGTGGTTGGAACTAGATTAAGATAATATCAAAACATATGCATCTGCTTTTCTTTATGTCCTCAGCAAATGGGAAATAAAACGCTGTCAGTGTTGTGGTTCTAGTGGAACACATTTAGCCTGTTCCTCACTACGATCATGGGAACAAAATTGGGAGTGTTTGGAATGTAGAAGTATTATCTACAATTCAGGTAATAGTTTGTAATTTTGAATAAAAATGTTTAAATGCATGTTATTAGAAATTTTTCACCTATATTTCTTTTAAGCTAACATTGGAATTTAAATCTGTAGATTTCCAAAAAGCAAAAAAACATGCATTATCCAACTCTAATAATGTGGCAATTACTGATTGTTTGTTGGAAGAGTCATCACCTAAGTTACCCAGACAGTCACCTGGAGCTCAGCGTAAAGACCTGCTGAGGTGTGTATTTTGAATTTGAGAAAAATATAAAAATCTTTTTGGAAAAAGAAATTAAAGGAAGTGCATATACACTTAGGATGTTAGCTGATCATATGATAGTCTAGAAGAGTATTTTTCAAACTGCAGAACCCAATATTTGATCAAGAAATACATACAGCCATCATCTTAAAAGAAAAAAAACGAAATGGGATAGGATGGGATGGACTAGAATGCAAAATATGTCGAATTGTATTACATGTAGAAAGAATGTGTATGAAATCATTTATTTATTGTATATTGAATCATATTGTAAAACATTTTTTATTATAGATCATTTTCAAGATAGTTTGAAAAACACTATTCTGGAAAATGTCCTTAAAATGTTATTTGATTATAAAAATAGGAAGTTAAAATATGAAACATACCATGTAACTCTGTGAAAAGGGTGGAATCTTATTTAACATGAGCTGGCTTATTGGATACTATAATCATTGTTTCCTTAATATATTCATTGTCAATGCTAGAAGTTTAAATGTCAGCTCTTTCCTTTAGAAGGTTTAAGGCATACCTATAAGTATTGTATTAATTCCTATGTCCACTAAATGGCAAAAAACTAACTTTAAAGTCATAAACATTTAAACAAGAATGGAATTACAAATTTATATTGCATCAGATATTTGTTCAATCGTAGTAATGATTTATGTTAACTTGGCAAAAGTTTTTAGAGCTTTGGTTTACCCAACAGGAAGAAAGTAGAAAAATAACATTTGTAGCTAAGCTTGATGGAAATATTTGATAATTCAATTTGCCAGATGGATAAGATATTAGGGATTTGTCAAACTGAGGAATTACTGTTTTAAAAATTCCACTTTTGTTATTGCAACTGTAACAGCTATCTCATTTGTTATATTTTTCATATAAAAAGATGTTCACGTTATTTTTAAATAATTTTAATATCTGGTTTCCAAATATGTTACAACAGGGAAGCTTGACTCCTTGCTCCTGCTTTCACTTGCAGTCGTATTCTAGAAGAATAGCATCAACATTATCACTGATCCAGGTGGGAGCAAGGAATCAAACTACTATAAGAAGGTGTAATTTTGATTTTTCTTCAACTTGGACTAATGAGTAGTGGATTCTTTGGGGGGGGGGGAAAGTGAAAAAGCAATGCCTGGACCACAATGGCACATTAAATTGTCTTGGTATGGGAAAAATTCATACTTAGATATAGAAAAGTGACTTTTGGGCATAGAATACATTAATTCCAATTACAAGTGGAGCAACTGAGGCAAAGAATGGTTAAACTGGTTTATATAATTCACCTGGATTGTTAAAATAGTAGAGATTATGATTGTGTAGATGTGCTATGGGACTCAATAATTTGCATTTCTAACAAGTTCCCAGGTGATGCTACTGGTCAAGGACCACACTTTGAGAATGACTGGTCTAGACTAAAAGGTACCATTTAATGGATTGTGAATTCTGTAATATTAGCTCTATTATTGATTATAACTTTATGGTTTAAAATACATTGTGTAATCTCTCAAAGCCATAGTTTTCTCATACATATGCAGAGCTTACATTTTCTTTTTTTTAAGATATAGCAAGTATGAAACAAGGTACAGTTAAGTTGCTTTAGCCATTACCCAGGAAGTAAGAGTTGAGCTCTAAAACCTGAATCTGCTGGATTGGTCAAATTTGAGATAATGATCTAACAACATTCTTATAAATGATTTTAATTTAGTTGAAGATGGGGGTGAGGAATCAATAATTTAAAACCTAAGATTATCAAATAACTGTTTTTGGTTCTAGTAGCAGCCATTATTTTGGTTTTGGGTCACATTCAGTAAAGAATTTCCATTTAAAATTTTTCTTTTGTTTTATTGTCAATATAACTCCTGTTTCACATAAAACACTTTGAAATACTTACCTCTTTGTTTAAATTCATGTTTTTATAGGCAAGGCAGCAAGTTTAGAAGAGATATTTCGACTATTCTGATAGAGTTAGGATTCCAAATTAAAAAAAAACCTAAAAGATTATTTATCAACAAAGCCAATATATGGAATAGTGCCTTAGATGTATTCAGGAATCAAAAGTTTAATCCTTCATACGCAATTGAAATAATGTATGTTAATGAAAATGATAAGTTTGCAAGAGAGCTTCCTGGATCAAAGCAGGAATTTCTGAGTCTTTTGATGCAACATCTTGAGAACTCATCATTGTTTGAAGGGTCCTTATCAAAGAACTTGTCTCTAAATTCTCAAGGTAATTATTTTATTTATTCTTATACATATTTTATATAGCAGATATAAGAAGTGAAATGTTAGTTAGAATTAATATTCATTAATTGTGATCTGACTATAATTTAAAATAATAAACTACCAATATGATCACAGGAAAGGGATAAGATACGTGTTGTTGGGGCTAGGGATACACAGCTCAATGATTGAGCACTTGTCTAGCAAGCACAAGACCCTGGGTTTGATTCCCAGGACCCCAAGTAAAAGAGAAGTTAAGTCTTATGATGAAACATGATTTAAGAATATCTATGCTTTTAGCAATATCCTTAAAATCAATTTATAAATGAGTATAAGTTTGAATACATTCACTTGAATTTCATTGAATATAGTAGTCAGATGGAATATATGATTATTTGAACTCTTCTTATTTATATATTTATAATTTGCACTTGGCGTATTTCTTTACAGCATAGAATTTGTATTTAAATGCTTTTCTGGACCACATATTACGTTTTTTGATGTGCTTTTTGTTTCCAAGAATTTTCTTTTTACACAATTATGTGTATATTTTTCTTTTTGGTGAGAACTTACTACAATAGGAAATTTAAAAACAATGAGAAGAGTTGTTCCCTTCCATTTGAATTTCTTCCTGTAGAGTAGACAAACTCTAGATAGGGCAGAGGGGTGGGAAGGGAAGGGAGGAGGGCGGGGGTTAGAAATGATGGTGGAATGTAATGAACATCATTATCCAAAGTACATGTATTAATACATGAATTGATGTGAATATACTTTATATATAACCAGAGATATGAAAAATTGTGCTCTATATGTGTAATATGTTACATATGTGTAATATGTTATGCATTACGCTGTCATATATTTTAAAAAAACAATAAAAAAAGAATTTCCTTCTGTATTTTCCATAGAACTTCATCATTGCCACAAACATTTTTACAATAGTTTGTATAGAGAGTTTAATTCCCCATTAGGGTGGGTTGGGGAGACTCTCAAATAATCAGTAATGTAAATTCAAACTTTGTTACATGGAGAATGCATGAATTTAAGTCACAGAATCTGGATTCGAGTTGGTACACATCCACAAGTCGTGGTGATATACTCCTGTAATCCCACCTACCTTGGAAGCCGTGGCAGGAGGATCTGAGATCAAGGCCAGCCAGGGCAACTTAGTGACCATGTCTAAAAATTCAAAAATAAATATAAAGGGCTGAGGATGTAGTTCACTGGTACAACACCAACAATTTTGAAAACCTTTAAAGCTGTAAGGGTATGGTAAAGTAGCATATACTATTGGGAATAAAAAGTCTGTATGTTTTTGGCAGATAATTTAATGACATACATTAAGAACTTAAAAATATTCATGTCCTTTGACCCAGTAATACCAGATGTTAGAATTTATCCTAATCAAATAAATACATAAATATATGTAAATAGATGTTATTTATGACATTATGTTTTATATAATAAAAAATGTCACTCAACCAGAACAGCCATAATAGGGAAATGGCTTGCCTTGTAGTACATCTCTAAGTTAGCCTTAATGCATCCAATTAAAATTGAGTAATTTTGAATAGCATAAGGAAAGTCATATAAAATAGTAAGGGGAAAAAAGCAGAATTCAAATTGTTTATGTATAGGTTTATATGCAGATAAAAACTACACAAAAGAATGTACTGTGATTATTATGGTGGGATTATAAGTATTTTAGTTTTTTAGAAGACTTTCTCTATTTGTCTTTTTCCCCCCTATGATAGACTATTACTTTATATTCAGATTTATTTATTTATTTATTTATTTATTTATTTATTTTTACATATTTTAGTAAGGCCTGTGTACCAGGTTGCTTCTAATGATTACTATTTTACATTTGTCTAATGTTTAGATTTGGGGATTATTTTTAATTATATATATATATATATATATATATATATATTCATTTAAAATGATGGTTATAATAATAAATAAGTATGTTCAATGAATTTTCATCTGTATTTACAGCTCTGAAAGAGAATCTTTACTATGAAGCTGGAAAAATGCTTGCCATTTCTTTGGTTCATGGTGGTCCTTCACCTGGTTTCTTTTCTAAAACCCTGTTTAACTGCCTTGTTTATGGACCAGAAAATACCCAACCAATTTTAGATGATGTTTCAGACTTTGATGTAGCACAAATTATAGTAAGGGTAAGAAATGTACCTGTTTATTAAAATGTAGATTTTATTCTATTTTAATATATTTTAATATGAATGAATGGCTTGCAATAGTACTCTATTGGAGTAGTTACATGTTGTCAACATACAATATTGCGTTTACCAGCAGAGTTCACAAAACCAGTGATAAATGTAAAATTCAGATAGCTGGAGGTGAAACTGTCAAGTTTAATATTCATAAAACTAGTTGGATAATGTGTCTTAGATTTGTGGTCAAAATGACTAGATGGATCGGTCCAGGGTAGAGCTAATATGTGGCAGGTTCCTAATTTGCTTGCTAAAGAACAGATGAAAGCGCACCATCTTGGAGGCAAGTAGTTTTGAGGAAAGGAAAGATTTGTGTCTCCAGTGGGAATGTTTACCCTTCTTTCTATGGGGAAGTAATAGAAGGAGAGAAAGTAAGTCATAGAAGGAAAGAAAGACCAGGATTAATTTCTTCCACATGGAACAAGTAGGGGGGTGGTCTCAATGCTTCCCACCATTCATTGTGCACTTTACTACACTCAACATATGTATAAACTCATTTATCATAATGCCCTATAAGTGAGATTTTGGTTTGAGTATTAGGCCATTTAACTACTGTATGACCTGGGCATGTTAATCTTGTAAAGTCTTGATTTCTAAACCACAAAGTAAGTACTATGGAAGTATGAGTTGCTATCTGTTGAGGTTTAACAGGTCTATTTATTTGACCTAAAACTGTTCATCCTAAAATCATATTTTGAATTGACTCCAACTTCATTTTTCTTTTTGTCTTCTTTCTTTATCAGAAGCAGTTTCTTTAACTTCATTTTCTCTATTTTCTACATATCTTCACTTCTTAAAATCATTCTTCTGTTCCTACCACCAGTCTCCTGAGTTAGCTTATTCATAACTTCTATTCAGTGATCTAAATCCTCAATATTGAACCCTTTCTTTTCTAATTCTTCATCTTTGTTGTTGTTTTTTCTTTTTTTTTTCCTCCACGTGTACAGATTGCAGGATCACATTGGTTATACAGCCACATTTATACATACAGCAATACTAGTGTCTGTTGTTGAGGGTCTCCTTCCATCTTCTTTTTGTGGTACTGTGGATTGAACCCAGGGGTACTGTACCACTAAGCTACACCTCCACTGCTTTTTATTTTTTAATTTAGACAGGGTCTTACTGAAATGCCAAGGCTAGCCCTGAACTTGTGATTCTCCTTCTCAGCCTACCGAATGACTGCAATTATAGGCATTATCTTCCCTGACTTTTACAATCAGTACTTTCTTAAAATTCCTCCCTATTGTTTTCTTTAATTTTGTACTACTTCCTACTCTTGGTTACTACTATCTTCCTTAATGCTTCTTCTCTTACCCCCCCTGACACTTAAGAATTTTTCAGTGTTGTCTTTAACAGTACTAATTCTTATTCTCTGAAGAGTGATTTCTCTCTCATAACCTTTCTGAATGATTCATAGCCTGTATTTTTAATCCCCATGTTTTATATGCAGATATGATCTGGGGCTTGCTAGCACACTAGGCCGCATGTTTAACCCATTTTGTCCCATTGCCATAGATATGGCATACCTATAAAACTTAAATACAGTATGTAATAAGAAATATAATTGTAGTAACAAGAATATGATCATAGTATAATGATGTTAATATATAATCTCTAGATTATGATTTCCAACCTATTTTTAGGCACCTATGTCCATTTCATTGAAATGTTCACAGAATTGAAAACTCAGGATTTAATGGGTTAAGACAAAACTAATCCCCCCTCCTAGACTTTTTTAAACAAAGTTTAAACTCACAATAAAGCATTTCATGGCTTTATGTACTCTGCTTTCTTCACTTCCTAACATGAAGTGTTTTTTTCCTTCATTTAGTCAGCAAGTACACACAGTCAGCAAGATAACACACAGTGTAGTATGTTATCATTGAAGACAGAATAATGAACCAAGTTTCTGTCTTCTTACAGGAAGGAATACCACCATAATACAAGAAATACCACCATAAAGTAAATATATATTATGAAGATATATATAGCAGAATAAAAGGAGTTGGATAAATAAAAGTTGATGTATATTAAAGTTAGGGTTTAAGCTAAGCTTCTTTAACAAATAAGCCCAAAAAGATGGTGGTCCAAATAAAGGTAGATGTTTATTTCCTTCTTAAATCTTGTCTAGACCATGTCTGCTTATTGGAATAAAACCACACCCCTTTGATATGTATCTGTCTGCTTTCACATTACAGTGGTAGAGTTGAGTATTTGCAACAGACACCATATAGTTCACAAAGCAGAAAATACTGTCTGGCCCTTGACAGACGAGGCCCCTATTTTAAAGTACAGTTTCAGTACTCAAAATCATCTAGGGTAGTATTGGGTTCCTTCTTTTCATTTTGTTTACTTAGAACATTATCTTCATCTTGTTGAAAGTAGCAGAGCGCAGAGAAGTTTGACACATTGTTTTGACTCATATCCCATTAGATAGACCTTACTCATTAGCTCCAGAGAAAGTCTGGCTGGGTGTCCAGCTAAAACTCAGGGATTTGGGGGAATGGAGCAACATATACTAAACTATGAATTTTGACAGAGAATACAGGTAATATTTTGATCAAAGTAATGAGAAAAAAACTTAAAAGAGATTTCAGCAGAGATTTCAAAAGAATGAGGGAATCATTAATCTCTGGAAGAAGAATGTTTTGGAAAGAAATTTTCTATGAATGGATTATTGATTGCCTCTGTTTTTATCTTTCTCCTACTATATTTTTAAAAATATTTTTATGTTGTTGATAGACCTTTATTTACTTATTTATATGTGGTGCTGAGAATCGAACCCAGTGCCTCACGCATGCTAGGCCAGCACTTTACCTCTGAGTTACAACTCCAACCCTACTGTATCTTTTTTTTTTTTTTTTAACAGCTAATCTATCTATATGCAAGTATCTGGCACATAAATAGTTAAGTATTTCTTTGTTTCTTTTTTAACCCTTTATTTTATTTTATTTTTATGTGGTGCTGAGGATCGAACCCAGTGCCTTCACGCATGCTAGACAAGCGCTCTACCACTGAGCCACAACTCCAGCCCCAAGTATTTCTTTTTTAATACTGAATTTTTTTTTTTTGGTAAATTTTATGCATCTTTTAGGTTTCAGCCAATAGTTTTTCTCTTTTGTGAAATTTCCTCATGTCATCTCTTTTGCCCCTCTAGAGCTATAAAATTCTCTATTTCATTGATTTTTATATAAACAATTTCTTGTATTAAACTGGCGTTATACTCTAGATCTTGAAGGCAGAAATATACAATATTTGTTGAACCAGATTTCAAACATTGATTCTAGAAAATATTTTTTAGTATATTCCACTCTACCCTGATGTACTCAAAAATTGAGTATAAAGGGGCTGGGGTTATGGCTCAGTGGTAGAGTACTTGCCTAGCATGGGTGAGGCACTGGGATCAATTCTCAGCACTGCTGAGAAAAAATAAAGTAAAATAAAGGTCCATCAATAACTAATAAAAATATCTTTTTTAAAAAATTGAGTATAAAATAATGTGTCATTTGAAATGTAAGTATCACTCACAATAAATGGGTAAAGTAGGTATATTTTCTCCTTCATTACAGATAAATACTGCAACAAATATGACTGACTTAAACTCAGTAGTAAATGAATGCTACAACTACCTAGAGCTTATTGGATGTCTTAGACTTTTAACAACATTAAGTGATAAGTATATGTTGGTAAAAGACATACTTTTCTACCATGTAATTAAGAGAGTCCAAGCACCCTTTGAAAGGTAAGCAGCTTTTATGTTAAGATTTTCCCAAATTATGTTCAAAGTGGTTCATTATCTTATAATGAGATACATTTGTTTATTTTCAGAAAAAAAAAAGTTATTTTAAAATAATGCCTTAAAATTAACCTCTCAATGATGATCATTATTCTTTGATCATTCTACTTCATTTTTTGGGCAGTGCTGGGGATTGAACCCAGCACCCTGTACATACAGGTGAACACTCTTACCACTGAGCTCTATCCCCCAGCCCTTTTCTGATCAATCTATACAGAATTAATTAAATGTATTATGCTTAGGAGAAGTAACCATTACTTCAATTTATAATTATTTTTCTAAAGAAAATTACTTTGAAAACTTTTACTACATATGCTTACTATTCTGTCTATCTCATTCTTTTAATAAATATTGAGTACCTCAGTCTGCTAGGTAACATAGGTCCTAACCATGTAACAAGGTAGATCTGATTCTTGCTCTTCTTCAGTTTAGAACATTGGTCTTCAAAATTTTGTCCCAATAACCCTAAAAATATGTCTGACAACTTATGTCTCCCCTCACAGTCATTTTTTTAAATAATGAAAATTTTCAAATATATATGGAAGTAGCCTGTGTGATCACCGTCTAATACTAAAAGTTATCTACCTGTGGCTAATCTTGTTCATCAATGTCCTATTCTATATTCTTATTCCTATTATTGACTTCAGTATTATTTTCAGTCAACATACAATATTATTCACCATACACAATATTATCTCAGAAGTGATCATTCATTTTTTAAAAGTTCAGTATCACCTATGGATTTAAATATATGTGATGTGTTTAAAATGATTATTATTTATCTTTACTGAAGTTTTGTATTATCTTATTTTTGACCTTTTTAACTTTTTGTTTCTTTTGATGTGACCCTTAATAGACTTTGATAGCTTTCTTTCTATATTGTGTGATGAAAATATTCAGATTCATTTTGTACATTCTGGCCTAAGGAAGCATTGTTTCTTTTAATGGGAAATGGTATTTCAAAAACCAGTGTGGGGCTGGGGATATAGCTCAGTTGGTAGAGTGCTTGCCTCCCATGCACAAGGGCCTGGGGTCAATCCCCAGCACCACAAACACACACACACAAAAAAAAACAATGTGGATGGATGCTAGGGATGCTTATTTTTCCAGGATGGTTACTGTATCTAAGCCTTTTCAGTGGTTTTGTTTTTTGCAGGGTGGGTACAAGGGATTGAACTCTGGGGCACTTGGCCACTGAGCCACATCCCCAGCCCTATTTTGTATTTTATTAGAGACAGGATCTCACTGAGTTGCTTAGGGCCTTGTTAAGTTGCTGAGGCTGGCTTTGGACTTGGGATCCTCCTGCCTCAGCCTCCCAAGCCTCTAGGATTACAGGCATGCATCACCACACCCAGACCCCTTTTCAGTGGTTTTATTGAAGTTGTTTTGCTTTGGTTTGTGAGGGTTTTGTTGTCGTTGTTGTTGCTATACTATTTGTTTCCTTTTGTTTTTGCTTTTTGTGGTTGGTTTTGTTTTGTGTTTGTGTTTGTTTTTTGTTTTGCTTGTTTTGAATACTGGGAATGAACCCAGGGGTTCTTTTTTCTCTCATTTACCACTGAGCTACATCACTAGTCCTTTTTTTCTTTTTCTTTTTAAAGACAGGGTCTTGCCAAGTTTCTGAGCCTGGCCTCAAACTTGCAATCCTCCCAATTTGCTGAGATCACAGGCATGCACAATCATGTCTGGCTGGTTTTTTTGTTTTGTTTTTTTGGAGAAGAGTTTGAAAGATAAAAATACATCATGGATTCATACTGATACTTCAAATTCATTATTACATGACTTAAGTTTTTCTATATCCCATGTTAAGAATCCCAATTTTAAGGACACCAGGGAATTAAAGTATAGTTCTTTACTCATTCCTCATTTTCTAAACATTTGTCTCAAAATAACAATACTAACATTTTTACCAATAACATAATATTACTAAAACAAATTTAACTTATTGTCCTTTTGTTTTTTTGTAGAACTGTACAATTTGTTTTTCAGTTATATGGAATAGTTATTCCCTGTGTTGCACTATAAGTTGGATATACTTTTCGTTTTTAATATTTTTGTGATTTTTTTATGAAATTTTTACTTAATAGTTATATAAAGTATTTGCATGGTTCTGAAGTCAAATAAATAGTAAAAGCATATAAAAATATGCTTTTGTGATGCATTGTGTATTCAAAGAAGTGTAGCTTTCATCCTAAACACATTCACCTTCCATCCCCTTATGAAGTAATCTTTTGGCTTTTTTTTTTTTTTAATGATTTCTCCTTACATTGTTTGTTTTTCTTTTTAAAAATAGCAGATAATATGTGAGGATATGTATGTATGTGTATTCCTTTTATTAGATAAATAGTAACATGCCATCCACCCTTTCTTCTTCTAATTTTTCACTTGACAGTGTATTTGGAGTTCATTTCTGTGATAGTACATGAATAGACATATTACTCATTCCTTTTTAGGGGTACTCAGAATTCCATTGTTTGAATATATTGTTTTTTCAACCAGTTTGCTGTTGATAGACTTTTGGGATGTTCCCTAGCACTCTTGTACACCATAATAATACCATCATAATCTTAAATAGTTGCAAAAGATGTGATTTTCAATATATTTTAATATTGCAGCTTAAAATACTACTATCATACAGCAAAATGTTCTCTGGTATGACTTGAATAGTAAAATTTTCTTAGGAACAGAATTATTACTTATAATTATGATTATAAATTATATATAAGTCATATATAAGGTTAGTATATAAAATCCTAGTATATTTTAGATTTGGTTATTATTAGTAAAATTTTATTTGAAGTGCATCTCTTAGTGAGGTATGTGTCCCCCCCCCCAGTTCATTTATCTACAAATGGATTTTTCTCTAAATTAGAGTAGAATCATTGTCATTTATTTCTTTTTTGTTTTGTTTTGTTTTGTTTTTAGAGATATGAGTAGTCTAGATGTCAAGAAAGGCTTTTGTATGTAAGAGTTTTTAAATTAAAACCATAATGATTAGTAGCTGTTAGGAAAATCAAAATGAAGAGGCAAGAAAAAAGAAGTTGAAAATTAATCCCTCCTTTTATATAAAACATACAAAGTTATATAGCAAAGTATGTTTTGACTTATAAGAAAGTAGCCCCACAGATGTAAGAAAGAACAAAGAAACCAAATGCTAAAGTGCCTTAGCTGTCATGGAAAGAAACAAAAACCCTCCACTTGCCTCAAACTTGTTTTTGGACTTTCTGTGTGGTCCCCAGTCTAAAGAAGAATTAATTAAGAATTAATTTAGGATTCATAATAGCTTGTATAGTGCCAGACATAAGCAAATATATAGCAGCAGTGTAGGGAAATTTCTATAGCTCAAGTCTAATGGGAATGCTTAAAGGTAAAGCAGTCCTCTCAAATTGGGGTTCCCAGTAAAAAATGGCAAAACTTACATCTGGCTGAAAAGCAAGAATTGGGAGAAATAGCACAGTAAAGGATTTGGGCAAGAGAACAAAGTATTTTTGCAATGATTGTAAAGATTTTTTTTTTTTTAAGTTGAACCTTCATTTTATTTACTTATTTTTATGTGGTGCTGAGGATCGAACCCACGGCCTCACACATGCGAGGCGAGCGCTCTGCCGTTGAGCCACAGCCCGAGCCCAAAAAAATTTTTTTAAAAGAATTGGAACAAAATAGAAAATATAAAATTAATCAAATAGTATTTCTGTATTAAAATGTTTGTGGACTTCTGCTTCTGAATAAGATGTAGACATCTTTCTATTTCTCCTGATATCTACTGTTCAAAAACTCCAAATGTTATATTAAAACAAGCAAAAGAAAACTTTGAAAGGTGGAGAGCGAACTGTCTGTTTCTACTAGGAAGGACCCAAGGAATGACACAGCAGAGTGAAGGGGAAATCTAAACAATCTATGTGAAGGAAAACTCAAGAAAATTTGTCACCAGCAGATATACCCTTTAGAAAATGGCTATACAAGTTTTTGAAACAAAGCAAGTAATTCAAGATTGAGTCTTGGAACATTCTTTTTAGTGAAAAGAATAAAAACATGTTTCTCCTCCTGTGTTTTCTAAGTCATGTTTGATTATCGAGGAAAGAATTGTAACATTACTTCATGTGGTTCACAGTGTATGTAGAGGAAATATTTAAGACATTAAATCATAAACATGGAAAGGTAAAGGGATTTAAAGGGAGGGAAGTGTTCTGTATTTTACTTGAAATGGTAAAATGTTGATGCTAGCAGATTGTTTTTTATTTATATATATATATATATATATATATATATATATATATAAATATTTATTTTTAGTTGTATTTGGACACAATACCTTTATTTTATTTATTTATTTTTAATGTGGTGCTGAGGATCAAACCCAGGGCCTCACACGTGCTGGGAAAGTGTTCTACCACTGAGCCACAACCCCAGCCCAATTGTTATATATTTTTTTTTAAACTGTATACAGAGACACTAAAAAGCACTATAAATAAAAAATGGAATTTTTTTTTAAAGCCACAGGAAGATAGGAAAGACCAACAAATGATCATGGAAATGAAAACTTGATGGTTATATTAAATGCCAGACAGTTGAAGAGAAAGTGTAACTGAAGAGGAATAGGAAGGTTTGATTAGAACAAAGAAAGGAAGATTGAAATAAGAAATCAGTATTAAAGTTAGAGTAAGAGCATCCACTTAACTAAGATAGGGACAGTTTACAGAAAATACTACTTGAAAAATTCCTCAGATTCACAAGGCTTAATGAGCCAAAGTAGCTTACTTTGTGATGGAACAGCAGCATGTGCAAAGACATTTGTAAAAGTGAACATTAATTATATTGAAAGCAGAAACAGCCAAAGTTATAACTTCATGAAAGTAGTCTGCATTATTCAAGGGTCAAGAAAATAAAAGTAGTGTTGTGGTTGTAGTTCAGTGGTATAGCGCTTGCCTCGCACACATGAGGCACTGGGTTCGTCAGCACTGCATATAAGTAAATAAATAAAGGTCCATCAACAACTAAAAATATGTATATATTGAAGAATATTTCTGGACAAAGTTTACTTCTTAAAGGATTAGTAAATTATATACTTCAGGAAGAATGAAATTGTAACCAGAAGTTTAAGATAAACAAAACAGCAATGGACAAAGAAGTGAAAAGGAGTGGGGTTGGGGGCAGAAACTGGGTAAATAAAAACAAGCAACCATTAAAATACTACTACTTTTTTGGCAAGAAAAGTTTCAAGTAATTGAAATTTTAGAAAAAGAGTACTATGTAAAATGGTAAGGGAAGTTAGTGGAGTTATTGTTTTAAAGAGCTTGTATTGTTGAGGTAGTACTATGGATGTATTAATTGGCTTTAAACTTTATTAAATCAAGTATAAATATTTTAAGGAAAAGCTCTAAAATTATACAGATAGACTGTATATATCTTCCAAATAGTTTGAAGAGGGGATGGGGCAGGGGAAAAATCAAGAAAACCTATTTAATCTCATAGCTTAGACTTTTGTATTACAAGACTAAGGACCTTAAATTTGTTAAACAACAAAAAAAGATAAAAGACTCTGATCTTTAAAAAATAAATAAATAAAACCTGATCTTAAAAGATCCTCAGTTCTTTTCTTTCTTTTTTTTTTTTTTAAAGAGACAGAGAGAGAGAATTTTAATATTTATTTTTTAGGTTTCTTTTTGGCGGACACAACATTTGTTTGTATGTGGTGCTGAGGATCGAACCCAGGCCGCACGCATGCCAGGCGAGCGCGCTACCACTTGAGCCACATCCCCAGCCCGATCCTCAGTTCTTTAGAAAGATTAAACAGTCTTGAATCTGTTTGCACCTAACTATGTAGTTCCAGAATATGTAACACTAAACTAATAAGATGCAAGAAATTGCTAAATTTATAGGTTCTGTTAAGAAATTTGAAACAGATCTCAAGAGTTTATTTTAAGCATGCAAATAATTACTGAAGTCCTATAATAGCAGTGAATAAAAATATCAATTCTGAGGAAGATTTACATCAGGAAGCAAGTTAAGTGCAAAATTGAAAAATTCACTGTGTACCATGCTAATAGATTAAAGGAGAAAAAAAGCTAAGATCCTTTTATAGTCAGAGACACAAGAAAGCATTTGACACATCTAAACATTTATAGTTAGTTTTAAATTAGCAATTTAGGAAGAGTATGAATAATGTTAATCTCATATAATGAGAAATTAAAATGTCTCTGTTGATAAAAGAGTATCTTATACATATTCAGCAAACATCCCTAATGGCAAAATATTTTAAGTATATCCTCCCCTTAAGACTAAAACAAGTCTAGGATACACACAACTAGTCCCTTCTTTTAATAACATGTTGGAGGTCTGAGCAGAGTAACAAATTAAACAAACAAATGAATATTATTAAAGTTTAGAAAAAATAAAATCATTACCTTTTTAGGCTATGTAATTATCTGTATAAAACAAGACATTGTATTTAGAGTTAAGCAAGGTTACTGGATATAAATGGTAAGGAGGATTCTAACAGAGAGGTTTTCAAGGGAGAAAGAGTGGTGAATAAAGAAACCGATAAAAATAAACACTGGTTGTACAGAAAATTAATGTCTAATTTGAGGGATTACAATACAAGTAGGAACTAAAATAATTTTTAAATAGCATAAGTAGTATGAGAGTGAGTAGAGTTATAAACATAAGGTTTTTTGTATTCCTCAGGAAGAAAGTAAATATATTGATTCACTTTAGATTTCAAAATGTTTGTTAAAACCTTAAGGGAGCAATAATTTTAAAACTAAGAGTTACTGTGACACTAAAATAGGGTGAATTGGTAGTTTAGAAAATCAGTAAATACAGAAATTGGCAAGGAGTAAAAAAGTATTTATAAAAGATAGTTCAAACTGCCCTAATTAAAGTGGCAGAAATGGTTTCACAAATAAGTGAAAATTACTCTGAAAAAAGCAAGTAACAGAAAAACATTTATTTAGCTTTTGCATTGCTGTGACCACAAAAGACCTAAGAAGGAGGAAAATTTATTTTGACTTACACTTTCAGAGGTTTGTTGTCATCTAGTTCCATAGTTTTGGACCCAGTGTGAGGCAGAATATCATTACTCAGGGTGTGGAGGAGGAAAGCTGCTTAGGACATGATAGCTCCGAAGCAGAGAAAGGGACAGAATATAAACCACAAGGTACACCCCCAGTCATCAACTTCCTCTGGACACACCCTACTTGTCTATACTTATCACCCAGTTAATCCATTTAAGTGGATTAATCCACCAATTTGGTTATAGTTCTGTTGGGGATGCAAATCAGGTCGAGATGGCGCCTGGCACTTTGCCAGGAGGAGTGGTTTGTGAAGCAACGCCGGGAGCCATTAAGATGATGAGGATTCCTTATTGGCTGACTGCTGTATCTAGATGATGTTAATTAAGTTAAGCTGTGTGTAATTAGTTAAGTAAATATACCTCTGCTGTCTGGCAGAGAAGCGGCTCTATCTCGGGTGCCCTCTACTTTGAGTTCTCACTCAGTTCCCGCTGAGTTCACTTGCAATAAAGTAGTTCCCGCTTCAACCTTCAAGTTGCTTGTCACCTCTGGGTTATTTTGCCCAGCCGGCATAGTTCTTACGATTAATCATTTCAACCCTGACCATTTCTGCATTGTCTCACATAAGAGCTTTTGGGGGACAGCACATATCCAAACTATAACACCATATGAGAGCTTTTGTGGAAAGTTCTAAAAGGAGAAATAAACCAATCTAAGCAGATTATTTGAGGAAAAGGTTAGGGAATCCAGAAAGTCAGTCTGATAGACAACACTGGTACCTCTGTTCTTTGCTTATTAATGAGAATGTGCATTTGAATATTCATTTGTTATTTGCATTTCTTCTGATAACTATACATATTTTTCATGCACATTTTCCTATTGGATTATTGATCTTTTAGAAAAAGATTTGTATTTTTTGTATATTAGAGAAATTAATATTTTGTCATGTATACTAAAATATTTTCCCACTTTGATGTCTTCTGATTTCTTTGTAGTAATACGTTTTAAATTTTATAATAGCTCTGAAGTATAAAATACTTAGGACATTTACTTCTTTCTCTTAGTAAAATGTTAATTTTGAAACTATAAAGTCAAATAATATAGTCATAGAAAACACTCATTAATGTATTTGCTTGTTATTGACATTAAAGTATCATAGTGTATCCATAAAGTAAGTTTACTAAAAATGTTTTGATTCCCTAATAAGGTAATACCAAACAATGTTGGCTTGTTATTTTTCCTCTCAAGTTTTAAGCAGGGTCTGAAAACTCTTGGTGTTTTGGAAAAAATTCAGACTTACCCAGAAGCATTTTGTAACATCCTCTGTCATAAACCTGAGAATCTTTCTGCAAAGATCCTTAGAGATCTTTTTACAGTACACACATTACCTGATGTACAAGCTTTGGGGTTTTGGAACAGTTACTTACAGACCGTTGAGGGTATGTGGATATTTTGTTTTTATTTAACTATCTCGGAATGTTTGTCTCGACATTTTATTTCTTACAGAATTTTACCTCTTGATATTCATAAGTCTTATTTCATTTATTTCAAAACAAGTTTATATTACTGTGTTGAAAGTGATAAGAAAAGGCTTACCTCTAGATAATTTGAGGTGAAAGGCATTTTCGCCTATATAACTTTAAAAATATGGATGATGGCCACAGCACATAATAGTCTTAAACAGTCTTAAAGCTAATCATTTATTTTATCTTTTTCAATCTGAAGTTCAACTTAATTATAATTTATCCTCTGATCAGGGCTGTGCTGATGATATTTAACACTGAGCTTAGCAATGTAAATCCATTTTATAAAGAAAATTTTATCTTTCAACCAAAGTTCAATTAGCTGTATTTTTGTTTGTTCACCATTTAGTTTTTTCTCTGCAGTTGTTTAAATAGTATGTTAATCAGTGATGATAGAAAAGAAGTCAAATATATCATGAGTAGTTGTATTACTTTATGAATCCTTTGAGATTCATTAATTGAATGTAATATTTGCCTATTCCTACACTTAGTGATTTAATTTGCCTAAGATGAATGTGGGAAGTCTTCAATTTTCTCAGTCTAGTTGAGGAAGAGACTATGATAATATCAATATGTAACTTGGATTTTTTTTTTCTTTCTTTTTTATTGGTAAACTTCAGATGGCAAATCTGCAACAACAATGGAAGACATTCTTATTTTTGCAACTGGTTGCAGTTCCATTCCACCTGCAGGATTTAAACCCACTCCTTCAATTGAGTGTCTTCATATGGATTTTCCTGTTGGAAACAAGTGTAATAACTCTTTAACTCTTCCAATCACCAGTACATATAAAGAGTTTCAAGAAAATATGGACTTCGCCATAAGAAACACTCTAAGACTAGGAAAGGAAGAAAGTTCTCATTACAATGAACATTAAAATGTTTCTTTGAACAAAGAGATGCTTCTTTAAAAGCTGCTATTAAAAACTTTCTTTTGTTTCAAAAATCTATTAATCATCAGTTTTGAACAAACTTGTCACCTTCTTGACCCAATAAAATTTATGATATAAACATAAAGGAATGTTTTGGCCATTTAAACAAAACAGAAGTTTTTTCAATTAAGGCATTCTAGTCAAAATTGGTGATGTTTTTCTGTTTTCTTAATGTACAGGCTTCATAATCTTCAATGTAATTACTTTTAGAATGGTTGTACAAATTTGATTCAGGTATAATAGCATGGCAGGTGCCATTTTCAAATTTTTCTTTATTTTAAAGCATTAAATAGAAGAGCTAATTGATTAAATCCTGCTTTAGGAATCAGGCATAGATTCTGGGGTTTATACATTATATTTATGCTTTTCAAAGATGGCACTAAATCCATTGCTAAAATATTTCTAGATCACTGATTTATGTTAAAATTACCCACACTGCAATTAGGTTATTTCTAATAGGAAGTATTATATAAAAAGCAGAATTGCACAAAATTGTCTGGATTCTGGGCATGTTCCAGAGGCTTAAAAACACTTCTGAGGTGGATACAATGTAACTGAAAATACCTAAGAGAATAGTATCTTCTAAGTCTTGGTTTTAATCATAGACCTTTTTAAAAAAAACTGGTATTCAGTATGTCTAATCCATAATCACTTTAGGTATCTGAATGATCTCTGTGGATTATAATGTGTTATACATGGGTTTTGACATTATTAAGGTGGTTGTATTATAGGCAAACCAGCTCCATACCATTGTACAATTATCTTCTTTACCCTAGAAAGATATCTTTTTATATAAGCAATGTATAAAGTAAAAAAGAATATAAATAAAGTAAAAAATACAAACAGAATGAAAATCCCACTGTAATCTCACCATACAGATTAGTATTGTTTCTGTATATTCATCTATAAACTCCTGTCTTGTCTATTTTTAACAATAGTAATGCTACTAAAATTAACAAGAAATCATGTAAAAATAATTTGAAGATATATAGTTTCATACTCATGTTCCCATAGTTGTGCTCCTACCAAAAAAATTGAGAAATTGGATGTCCTTAATCTATTATCAGATCCCAATCTATTATGAAATATAAACGAGACAAAGCCCTGGTTTTCTGCTAAAGTAAATCATTATATAGTAGGTAAAGCATTATGAGAGATAAAATGTTTTAACCACAATTTTCTTGCTACATTTAAGTATTAGCTATGATCATAATCTCATCCTCCCCAAGATGAGACTCCCCAATACTCAAATTATTAATATTTTTTAAAGAAAATTACCAAGATTGACTTATGGTAATACATCTCTTAAAACCAAAGGAAAATGAAAACAATCCTAACGTAATTTCCCTTATTACCTCATATTTTTCAAATTGTACTAACAGACCTAGCAAATTACTTACTTTAGTTATTTAACAATATTAATAAACAAGGCATTTCTTTGCCATGTGTTAAATTGTTAGATTATCAAAAGTAATTAAAGGGTCAGTTATTTTAAAAGTTTAATATCTAATATAAACCTCAAGCTCACCAAAGAGCTTTTATTCAAAATGTTTTGATAAATCAGGTATTTTATTTCTTAATGCATCTAGTTTTTATAAAAATTTAAAAGCCATTAAATCAATATAATCCTCCCCCCCAAAAAAAACAATTAGATCTACTTTCTGGTTTGTAGTTTTGATTAATTTCCCCTTGTATACTAATTAAAACCAATACAATACTCGCATGCTTTGTGAAGGTGGGGGTAGGGACTAGGAGCAACATGCTTGGTTAATAATAATTAAAACTGGTATTTCATTTCCTCCTTACACTTAAGTATAGAGAAGGCCTTAGTATAAGATGGTGTAAGTAATAATTCAGAATATTAGCCTCTTAAAGTGAAATGTAAATATATTGTAAAATGTTTTCTGGTTTGAAGGATGTCCTGTTATGATTTTTAGGTTAATCTGTACAGTCAAGGCATATCAGAGAAACCTGTTGGTTATTTATTTTCTGCAGTGTTACTTTGTCAAATGGTTTGTGTTATTCTGTTCCTATTCGTTTTACAGCACAATTCTTAACTGATGCGGAATTTTATAAAGGAATTATGCTACAAAGTTTGTATATGTATTTACCGTTTCAATTGTCTAAATGGCGCGTATTATTTTAAGCTTGTTTTCTTTTACTTAATATTGAAGAAAACCATAAATTGACTATTATGCACCTATTATTAATGGTTTTGATTAGTTTTATATTCATTTCTTTAAAACAGTTTTAAAATTGTTTCTAGTATGGGTTCTTTATCTGTCGATCTTTTATCAATACTATTCTTGTACTTGGTCATTTTACTCTTTTAGAATTTAAGGTAAGGATTCTTTAAAATACCAAAAAGTTTTAGATTATAATTTTATACTTTGTAATATTTAGTTTCTACATTATGACAATTTTTTTTTAGTAAAGCAAAAGTCTTCATTTGTTTACTAGCTTGAGAATTTACTTTGACTTCTATTTAAAGCATAATTTTTCCCTAATTATATGGAGAAAGCTATTCAAATCTGCACTCAGTACTAAAATGCTAAGTAAACGGGAAATATGGATAAGTTTTCTCAGTGACTTTGCCTTTAGTATTCAATCATAATAAGAAAATGATCATTGATCATAAAATTTTTCTATTTATAAACATAATTATTGTATATAGTGATTAACATACTCTATTATTACTTTTTCTGTAAGCTGTTAGTTTTTTATGCTTCAAGTAATGCAAAGTTTTGTGCTTAAAGTAATGCAATACAAAACATAAGAAGAACACATGTAATGATGAAGTGGATGTGTATGACTTGTAGTTTAAGGAAATTTGGATTGCCTTGAACAGACCCAGTTTTCAAGTTCTGATTTTGACCCTTTTCAAATTCCCAAACATACTCTAATACCTACTGTATGCCAGGTGTTATGCTAAGTGATCATTTATATGTGAGCCTATTTCTCCCCATCTTAAAAGTGGCCAGATGTAATCAAAAAGCATGACAATGAAGTTTTCTGAATAAATGTGCCACTAAATGTGCTTATATAAACTAAATTAAAGAACTTGATGGGATTTCACAAGGTTAAGATTCTGACAAAACTGAGTAACATCCAAAATCCTGTACTCTCCACATTTGAGAGATCCTATAAGCAGCTGACAACCAGGAGCCTCTCTATACATGAAATGTTCTGAGGTAGTCTGTGATAACAGAATGCATTTTTTTTTTAATTTTTAATTGTGGGTTGTTCAAAACATTACAAATTTCTTGACATATCATATTCCACGCTTTGATTCAAGTGGGTTATGAACTCCCACCTTCACCCCATACCCAGATTGCAGAATCACATCAGTTACACATCCATTGATTTACAAATTGCCATACTAGTGTCTGTTGTGCTCCGCTGCCTTTCCCGTCCTCCACCCAGAATGCATTTTTATTCTTTGATTCTAATAATACAAAAGAAATACCATAATCTCAGCCCTTCAAGTATTATTCATCTGCTGCTACTGTTCTTCTCTGGGGTATATTTTTCTGTAAATTTATTACCCACAGGACAGTTTTTTTTTTCCCATACACATAACATACACCTACTAAACATAAATTTACCATTGTCTCAGTATTTTATGTTAGTATGACTCATGTAGTCCTCAAAAGGAGTCTTTGATGGAACTGAAACTGTTACATGATAGATTTGCATTTGTAAGTGGAGTTGGGTCTATGTTTTATATTCCCTGAAGAATGCAGTATGCAGTAGAACTTACCCATAAGGCAGGAACTGTCATTTGTCTAAAAAAAGACACTAGTTCATTGAAGATTTTTTGAAAATAGTTGTAATACCATTGAAGAAAACACTAGTTTCAAAGTTAAGCTTTTAAGGCATCATCTATTATTTCAGAATTTTATGCAACTTCAAAAGAAACATTCAACAGCTAGCAAAATGTCAGCAATGAACCTTGAACATGAGAAATTGTATATCCATTTTTGACATCCAATAAAAATCTATGGATTATGGAAATTATCAGTCTGTTCTGTTGTGATCGCATGACTTCAAGTATACAAACATCAACAATACCCAACCCTCCCCACAGATACACACCCTACTTCAGTAATGTTTTGTGAATTTGTAATTAAAGACATTTTTGGCACCTTCCTGACTCCAGTATCCATGCAGGGAAAAACACCATAAAACTAGAGCACTGAGAGAGAGATTGAGATGAAAAAATCTACCATATAAGGGAAACGCTCCAAACGTCCTGTGTTTCTAGAAAAGGAAGGGGAATCCGGAGTTTCATGTACTTTAGTTCTGTGATTCTTACAAACCTTGAGTATTGTTACCATTTAAATGTAAGGACCAAAATATCTGTTCCGTATCATTAGCTTCCTAACACAGCAACAAATTCCTACTCTAGGGGATTAAATTCCTACTCTACATTTGAGAGGGTGTAGCTAGAAAGGAAACACCACCCGCAATTCAGACGTTAACTTCAACAGGATCTCCAAACTGTGTCCCAAGAGCCCAGGAGAAGCGGTCCCGCTGGAAGGCGGAGTGTGTTCCAAGCCCCGCCCCTCCGACCTCTGCTTCCGGGGCGGAAGGGACCGCCACGTCATCTGGCTCCGCTCGCCAGCCGGGCAGTGGATGGTGGGAGTCAAAATGGCGGCAGCGGTGGCGGCAGCCAGTATTCGGGAGAGACAGACAGGTACAGACTTATTTTCTTCTCTGTGGGTTTGTGCCTGCGCAGAGACATCCTTTCCATCTGCTTGTCGTCCTCATTTGGTTGTGGTGCGTGTAACTCAAAGACCGATCTCCAGGAGTTTAGTCTCCTAGTGCATCAAGAGCCCCTCCCCTTTGAGTTTTTGGTGAAGAGATGCAGTTCGCTTAAAGACTTGGCCCTCACCTGTGGTACCTGAGAAGGGGCTTCCGGAGTAGGCCGATTACTACAGTCTGCCTTTTACTACCGAGGCTCAGAAGGCTGTCAAGACAATATCTGGCAGCTGGTATTTTCTTTTCCTCTGTTGCCACTTAGGAGATCTCGAGGTTTGTATCTGTGCGTATTGCACGTCTCCCTGTTTTGTTTTTCACTTTAGTTTTAAAGTTTAAAGAACTCCATTTTCCTTCACCTGCACCACAGTTACAAAATTCAGAGATTCTTTTCAGAGTGGCTTTATGCATCATCTCTCTCAGACCAGCCTTTTAGGGGAACCTAAAGAAAAATGCCTGGTGATACAGATTTCCTTCTTAAGCTTGCTGGAAGGGATAGAAGAATGGCAAAGCAAATTAACTAATGGCTTTCCCATTTCAATTGTTTGACGGATTAGTATTTTAAAACATGATAATTTTATCTTCAGTAGAGCATGTTTAAATAGCTTCCATTTATATAGCGAAATCTGGTAAAGATTCATATTCCCTTGAGTTTTAATGTTTTTCCATGTTAGATAGTTTTAGTGTTTCCTTATTCTTTGTAAACTTTGTGATGACGACTTGGTTTATGCATGTTAGCTCTAAACGAATGTTTATACCTGTTAACCAATGGTCTTGAAGTTTGTGAAGCTATATATTCTGAGGAGTTAATAAAAATAAACCATCTCCTTTTTCCCCTTTCCCATTGATATTTTTCTCCATAGGACTTATGATCTCATATACTGTGTGTCTTATTTGTTTTTACTAGTTTTTGTCCCCCAACTGAAGTGAAAGCTACATGAGGACTGGTCATTTTTATTCGATTTGTTTTGTTTAGTGCTAGTACCCGTATAGCTAAGGCAGTGTCAGGTACATGGTGAGCACTCGCTAAACATTGAATGAAATGAATAGAAAACATAGATGACATTTATTCAGTGAATGAGTGAAGACAACATTCCAGGTAAGGATGAAGTTACATTAACCAAGTCTAAAAATATGAATAGTATATTTAAAGCCAATAAAGAAAACTAGTTTATTATTTCAATTAAAATGCAGTAATATAAGCCTTGGGGAGTTAAACTCTGGTGATCTTAAAATTACATTCTTATATAACTCTTATATATAAATGTATTCTGGCCATGTACTTCATTAACAAATCCACTGTGTCAAACTATCTTTGACCAAGTTAGCAAAGAGTCAGTTGGAGAAATTTTCCTAGATTGGGCTGAGAAAGCAAATGTGAGACTGTCTATCTTCTCACACTGGCCTCTTTCAGTTAACTAAGGTCCAACGCTAGAGAACACTAAATGCCTGAGGTCCACATGGCAGCCTGACTATATAGTTCTTCCTAGTTGTCACATATCAAGAATGTGAACAGCTTTTTCTACAAAAAAGGTGTCTTTCTCTAGGACTGTGAGTGCCAGAGTAGTGTTTTTTCTTTATTTCCTGGAGGTGGGAAAAAGAGCTGTGCTAAAGCAATGGGAGAGTTAACCCAGGGACATCTTTTTGCCTCTTGTAATATTTTAATTTTACATGCAAAAGTGTTCTTTTATTTATGTATATTTTTATGTAATACCGTAATATCTCTGAGGCTTTGAGATAGGCATAAATTGTTGGTAATGTGCATTATTAACTGGTCATTAGGTGCTAATAAACATTCTACTAAAAATGTTTGAATAAACCCACTTAAATATTTAAGCACAGTCAGCCCACTGTATCTCTGAGTTATGCATCCACATAGTCAATAAAGTACAAATAAAAAATATTCTAAACGAACGTGTCTGTACTAAACACATGCATTACTCCCTAAATAATACAGTATAATAGCATTTTCATTGTCTTAGATATTATAATATAGCCATGACTTAAAGTATATGGGAAGATTTGCATAGGATATAAGCAAATACTATCCCATTTTATATGAGGGACTTGGCCTCCAAGGATTTGGTATCCATCAATCTCCTGTGGGACAGTTATCAAGGGACAACTGCATGTTATTGAAGTGTAATCTCTTCAGTGATAAAGGTGTTACAGCATTATTCCTACCTCAATATACAAGCATTTAATAGAAGTTTCCTATGAGTAAGTAGGGCATATAAATAGATTTTGGGGTGATTTTAGTATTATGTAGTTCTTTCTGTGGTAGGAGTTCAGAGTGTGAGTATTTCTGTATTATTTAATAAAGTGACTCAAATGCTTTTTAAATTTTTATTTATTTTTGGTACTGGGGATTGAATCCAGGGATGCTTAACCACTGAGCCACATCCATAGCCCTTTTTATTTTTTGAGACAGTCTCACTAAGTTGCTCAAGGCCTCGCTAAATTGCTGAGGCTGGCTTTGAACTTGTGATCCTCCTGCCTCAGCCTCCCAAGCCACTGGGATTACAAGTATCCACCATGACCATGCTAGTCCCTTTTTAAAATCAAGTAGATTTAATGTTGCCAATCTTTGAAATATTAAATCACCTAATACATTTTCTTGAATATTTGACTATCTCAGTTTCATATAGAAGTATATTAAAAATTTTTCATTTTCCTTAGAAAATATGTTTAAGTCTACATGAAGAGATGAACAGAAAAAAAAATACAAAATTATACATAGGTCATAACTGCTGTGGTTATTGAAATTGTATATTTTCTTAGCCAGAATTATCAGTTATCTAATACACCCATGGGAAAGTCTCATTTTCCCTCCAACATAGAATTTTAAGCAGCATAACTTTTCAGAAAATCTGATAGGATAAATAGGTTGTAAAAATGTACTCTTGGGTAACCAAAAAATAGATCTGCTGCATATAACCTATAGATAATTTTTTGCCTTTAGAAAGACTGATCTTAATCTATGCTTTCAGCCAGGCAATAAATAGACAACAGCACCAGTTATCTGTTAAGATCATGATTAAAAAATTTGTTTTTAAATCTACATAAAATTCAGTGTGGGATAGGCAGGAGAAATGGAAAAACACTTTTTCCTCAATAGTTTTTACAATTTCATTTGGGACAAATAAATGCCTCTTATAATCAGTTCTGCATTTTGTTTTTAGATAGTTAATAATAATATAGAGAAAATATAAAGTCCTTTAAAAATAGTAATATTTGACAAAACTTTTTATTTTCAGTGGCTTTAAAGCGTATGTTGAATTTTAATGTACCACATGTTAAAAACAGCACAGGAGAACCAGTATGGAAGGTAAGAGCTTTTTTTCTTAACCCTTATTGATGGTAATTGGTTGAAATTTCTTTGTTAATACTGAATTTATAATTTAGTTATAGTTCATGAATATTTTGTTTTTATTTACCATGGCATCTTCATATGAATTGTTTTGATAAACATTTTATGGAGTGAGACTGGCAAAAAAAATAGTAATTATCTAGAACATCCTTCTGATTGCTTAGGTGGGTTCTCACTGATAGTTCTGGCTGATGTTTTGTTTCTTAGCTTTGCAAGTCTATACATTGGCTCTTACAAGCTTTCTCAGGATTAGGTAGATTCAGGAGTACTGATCCATTTTAACCAGCTCATTGGAAAGTGGTCTATTTATAAACCACAGTGCCAATTTATTAATTTATGAGCTTTAAAACTGTTCAGTAGACCCAGAAAGCAACCTACAGTCTTCAAAGAGATTAAAATGTCATTGATTAGGTTTAAACTTATTAGTTTATTATCATTTATATTTGTCTCTTGGTAAGAATTAAGAACAAATCAACTTGGTTAGAATTATGGGTGTTATGAATGATCTAATGAGTCTTTATAGGTCCTTTAACTCTCAGTGGGGCTAAAATGATTCATATTGCATTCATAGTTTAAGATTCAGTATCCCCTAATATCGCCCTTATTTTCTTTCTTTGTTTATTGTTTGAGGTGGGGGGGGGTTTGTTTTGTTTTTTGGTGGGCTTTTTCTTATTGCTTCTTACACAATTATATACTTGTTTCTTTATAAGTTCTACATTGAGTCTGTGAGTTAAATAGGTGGAGAAACTTCTTGGGTACCGTTTTGTCAAGATACTTTCCCTACCCATCACTTTTATACCACCAGATAAATAATACAGATATAGTCTCCACCCTCCTTATCTGCAGGGATACGTTCCGAGATGCCCAGTGAATTCCTGAAACTGCAAATAGTACCATACCCTATGTAGTTAGTCCTCTATATCTGTGGGTTCTGTGTACATGGATTCAATTAGATTCTGTCAACCACAAATCCAAAAAAAATTTTTTTGATTTTGTCTATACTAAACATGTACAAACTCTTTTTCATTATTCCCTAAACAAGATAGTATAGCAACTGTTTATGTAGCTTTAAAGTATACAGGAGTGTTGTGTGGATTATATGCAAAACTGTGCCATTTTATGTAGGGTACTTGAGCACCCAAGGATTTTGGTATCCGTAGAGGATCCTGGAATCAATCCCCCAAGGGTACCCAAGAATGACTAGACATATATGTTCTATTCCTATATATACACACATATGGTAAAGTTCAGTTTACACATTGGGTGCAGAAAGATTAACAACAATAACTAGTAAAAATAGCAGTTATACCAATCTACTGTAATAACATTTCCAGCACTATTACTGTTTAGTTTTGGGGCTATTATTAAGTAAAATAAGGGTTATTTGAAAACAGGCACTGTGATACTGTGACAAGATTTGATAACCAAGTCAGCTGATAAGTGACTATTAAACAGGTAATATATACCACATGGACGCATTTGGACAAAGGGGTGATTCATGTCTTAGGCAGTATAGAACAGCAGCATTGTGAGAGTTGGGCAGGATACAACAGGATACATGAAATGTCATTTTGCTACTTAGAACAGTACACAATTTAAAACTTACATATTGTGGGGGATTTTCCTGGAATTTTCCACTTTTTTGTTTGTTTGGTACCAGGGATTGAACAGGGGCACTTATCCACTGAGCCACATCCCCAGCCCTTTTTGTAAATTTTATTTACAAAATAAACTCACAGTCATCCTGCCTCAGCTTCCCCAGATGCTGGAATTATAGGTGTGTGCCACCACACCTGGCTCCACTTAATATTTTCTGACCCCATTTGACTGCAGGAAATGAAAACTGCAGAAAGTAAAATTGCAAATAAGGGAAAACTAATGCATATTGAGATTTAAAGAGAAGACTTTTGAGATCCACAACATCCAACCTCTTATAACTATGGCAGAAAGAGTTTGAAATTCTCTAAAGAAAATCCTAGCATTTAAGAAAACTGTTTTTATAATAGCTCATTTCATTCTCAGTAGCAGTTTCTTTCTCTGTGAAGAATTATTAAAGTAGTTGTGGAAAACACCAGTTGAAGTTCTCTTTTATTTGCTCTCACTCTAAAATTAATTTTAAGTTAAAAGACCCAGTTGTAGTTTTTAATCATTCCTCAAAGGTATCAGTTTTAATACTTTTAGAATGGGGAATGCATTTGATAGAGGAAGTCTATCAAGTACTCTTTAGGGACTTAATTTTTTAAGTGAATGCTTTATTTACCTGAGACACCTAAGTTATCAAATTTTCTTTATGACAGTGGGACTTGTTACATATTGGTTTTAAAAGTGGCTAATTTCTACTTTTTGTTTTGTTTTTTGTTTTGGGGGGTTTGTTGGGGTTTTTTATTTTATTTGTTACAGAGATCAAAACCAGGGGTGCTATACTACTGAGCTACATTCCCCATCCCTTTTTTATTTTCAAGACAGGGTATTTTTAAGTTGCCCAGGCTGGCTCAGACTTTCAATACTCCTGCCTCAGCCTCCTGATTGGCTGGGATTACAAGCATGTGCCACCTTGGCCACTACATTATCATTTTTAGAAAGTATCTATGTGAACCGGAAAAAAGCAAGCAGAGGAGTGTGCAAGTTTGCTGTATGTTGTAAGTCCTTTATAAAGTTTAAAATAAGATTTCATAGTCTCTTGGAGAGGTTTTTGTTTGGGGGAGGGGGTTAGAAAAAATATAAGAAAATTATATAATTATTGATTTATTTTAGCCTAAGCAGTAATGCTTTTAATATTACTTCATGGGTGGATGTTTTGATAAATAATGTTGGAAAATATTAAATTGAGACAAATATAACATTTACTTCAACATCATCTTAATATTGGTTCCCTATTGATTATTCACTAATAATGATGTTTTTAAAAACATGGTTTTTTTTTCTTTAAAGGTTCTTGTTTATGACAGATTTGGACAAGATATAATCTCTCCTCTGTTATCTGTGAAGGAATTAAGAGATATGGGAATCACTCTTCATTTGTGAGTTTTATATATTTTCTAATAATAACATTTATTTTCAAATAAATTATCAAATATTTTTTTACCACCTTAAAATCAAATTATTCAGGAACATTGAGAGAGAAAAATAATATTCACTTACAGATTCTGTGTAATATAGGAATAGTCCCCCTATATCTTCTTTTATTCACCTCTCTTTTTCTGAGGTTAAAAAATAATCCTCACTCCAAGGTTATACAGTTTCAGAATTTAAATTTTCTCTTGTGTCCTCCCATAGATTTGGTTGACCATCTGCATGAAGGGAAAGAACTAGTAGTCTGCAGCTCTCTTCCAGTTCTATAAGTGTTCTATTTCTTTAATTTAAATGTACCCTTTTTAAAAAAATTTTTTAGTTGTCAGTGGACTTTATATGAATTAGTTTATCATTAATATGAACAATTTATTTGACAACCTGAAGTAATGACTGTTAATCATCATAGAAGACTGTGCTGTCTTAACTGTTAAGTTTACTTAATTATATTGCTTCTGATGTGTTTGATAAAAGTAAAACAAATTATGCTACATTAAATACTTGCCCAGTAGAACTTTGGAGACAGGCTGTGTTCCTGAATATATACTGATGCTATTGTATACTGAGGAATCCAGTTTTATTGTGTTCTACCCTATTTGCATTTTGTTCTATTCTTGAAGTTATAACCAATTTTCACTTTATGGTTTTATAATATATTGAAGTATAATCTTAGTGGAAACATGGTTTTAGATTTTCAGTGAGTCCCATGTCAGAATCTGGCTTAATAATTTTAATTTTTTAAATTATATAATGAATGTTTATCTAAAATTAATAGAATATGGTGTTGTATCTTCTCCTTCCTTCCTTCCTTCCTTCCTTCCTTCCTTCCTTCCTTCCCTCCCTCCCTTCCTCCCTCCCTCCCTCCCTCCCTCCCAGTGCTAGGGATCAAATTCAGAACCTTGAGCGTGCTAGGCAAGAACTCTACCATTGATCTGCACTGCCACGCCATATACATCAATTCCAAATATACTTTACACTTTTTTGTATTTCTTTGATTGGGAGTTGTATTATAATTGATGGCTTGCATAATTGGCAGCATTTTCTTAATGTTATACATAATATGTTTTAAAATTGATACCACCTTGGATTTGATGAAATACAGTATTTGACAGGTGTTTTTTTTTCCCCCTTTGATTTTTTATTAGATTTCAAACAAAGTTGCTTTGGTAACATATTAATTCTCATGAACTAAACTGAAGTTTAGCTTGTGTTATCCTTGGAAATGATGGATTATTAATAAGCCTAGTTTCCTATTGATACTTTACTAAGTATTTAACTCCTTTATTTTAATAGTTTAAAAACTCAAATTTAGAAAATATAAGTGATTGTCCCACAATAGAGCAACTACTTAATAGCAGAGCAGTATGGCCAGATTGCTTGTCTCCTAATTCTATGCTATTTGTTTTTTGAATCATAATAGCTCAATAACAGTGCCTAATAGAAGTGAAGCCTAACTAGGTATTTCCTTAAGGGGTGACAAAATAGAGTGAGGCTTAACTAGGTATTTCCTTAAGGGGTGCCAGTTTGAAAGTCTAGGAAGCAGGGAGTTATTGCCATGAGAGCATGGAAAGATTGCATTAACTACCATGGCAAACTCCTGTGAGCCTTGCTTCTAACTATTCTTCCCTGTTTTCTGGAGAATATGACAATAATTTTCCTCTGCAAGCTAGTTTAGATTGCTATGTAGGATACAGTAACCACAAGTTTATTGAGTATGAAATGGTGATTATAGCCTGTTAGATAATTGGGAAGCTGGCATAAAAAGAAAGCAAGCCATCAAATGTTCATTCTCACTATCAGTAGCAGCAGCTAGACTGATGGAAGAAGTTATTAAATGCAGATCCACTAGGGGTATGTGAATTTTCACTCTTCTTGATTAAGGAAAGGTGACTGGAATGGGGTGAATAGTGTAGAAATATAATGTTAGTCATATTTCCTGATATAAGCATGGTAAAAATCTTACAATGAAGAATAAAGAAATTTTATGACTAAGATATTTAAATAAAAATATTCCCCTGATAAAAAAGAGAAAACTCTCTAGTATATAATCTGTGGGCTCCTTAGGTGATCTCTCATGAATTCTTTTATAGCACAGAAAATATGCAAAAGTAAATTGGGGCTGGGGTGTAACTCAGTGGTAAAATGTGTGGTCAGCATGCTTAAGGCCCAGGTTTTGGGCTGGGCTTGTGGCTCAACGGTAGAGTGCTTGCCTAGTACGTGAAAGACCCTGGGTTCAGCACCACATAAAAATAAATAAATAAAGATAGTGTGTCCAACTACAACTAAAAAATATATATATTAAAAATTTTTTTTTTAAAAAGGCCCAGGTTTCAGTACCCAGTGCCACATTTTAAAAATAAAAATAAGTTTTAAGGAAACATTCATTTTCATTTTAAAAACAATTGATTTCATGTGTGATTAAATTTTTGCATTGCTTCTAAGAATTCCACCTGCTTTGTTTTCCCTTTTGGGTATAGCTACACTTTTTCTTCCTACTCACAACCTCTGCCTTATATTTCTGTAAAAAATGGGAATAAATTGATTTTGAATGTGCTTTAGTTTTCATTCAAGAAGATTGATAGTAGAAAAGAATGTCTGACTATAAGAGATATTAAAAATAATTTGAATGAAATGAAAACTAATGAGAAATTAGACTCTTCCTTATAAATAATGTTAATACTAACTAACTGCCTGGACATTTTTGTTTGTTTCTTAAGAATAAAGTTAGGTTAACTAACTGATTAAGAGCACCAAGAACTTTAAGAGCAATGGTCACTGTCCTTGAGCTGGCGAGCTAATAGTTTGAGAAATAGTGTTCTAAACTATCTTTTTAAATAAATGACGAAGAAATAAGTGAGTTTTATGTTTTTTATGTCTTCTAGGCTTCTGCACTCTGATCGAGATCCTATTCCAGATGTTCCTGCAGTATACTTTGTAATGCCAACTGAAGAAAATATTGATAGAATGTGCCAGGTAATATGCGTTCTTATTTTACCTGACACTTGAATATTGATCCAGACATTATTCAAAAACTGTCTTGGATGTCTAGTGTAGAGAATCAGATATTTCTTTACCCAGCTTTCCACTTTGATTTTTTTAGGCTGTCTTTGAATTTTAAATAGCTCAAGAGATTTTTTTTTCTTTTTTTGTAAGACTGTAACTGAAGAAACATTCTATCAGTAGAGGCTGAGTCTAGCCTTTTAAAAAAAAAAAGTCTAAGTATATTACCTTTAAAAATAGAGTTTTGAGCTGGACATGGTAACATACACCTATAATCCCAAAGCTCAGGAGGCTGAGGCAGGAGGATAGTAAGTTCAAAGCCAGCCTCTACAAAACCAAGGTACTAAGCAACTCAGTGAGACCTTGTCTCTAAATAAAATATAAAATAGGACTGAGGATGTGGCTCTGGTCAAGTGCCCCTGAGTTTAATCCCTGGTACACACACACACACACACACACACACACACACACAGAGTTTTAAGCCAGGCATGGTGGCTCACGTCTATAATACCAGTGACTTGAGAGGCTGAGGCAGGAGGATTGCAAGTTTGGGGCCAGCCTCAGGAATTTAGTGAGGCCCTAAACAACTTCATGAGACCCTGTCTCAAAATAAAAAAGTAGAAAGGGCTTAGGATGTGGCTCAATGGTAAAGAGCCCCTGGATTAAATCCCCAGAACAAAAAATAAAAAAGAATTTTGGTTTACTCACATAGTAGGAACATTGAGAATAGGAAATCTAACCTCATGTAGAATTACTGTAATGTAATCAAATACCCCACTCTTTCTATCTCTTTTAGTTTATTGGGGTTTTTTTTTCATCTTGCTTGTTGCTTCATGGATGTAAGGTGGCAGTTGCAGCTGCAGACATCACATCTGTGTTCACAGCAAGAAGAAATGATAAATGAACTGTGCCAACCTGTCTATTCATTTAGATCAGGAAAGCTAAACCTTCCCAAAACTCCAAAAGGCATATTTAAGTCTGAGTGGAATTAGTTTCAAGAGATGCTACGTTAATATTTAGATGAATGTATCGACACCCCAAAGAAAATTTGGATTCTTTTAGCAAGGAAAAGGCAAAAAATAGATATTAGATACTAACAGTGTTTGCCAGAAGTCACAACTTATGTCCGTGTTCTAAACTATTGAATCAATTTGTTATATAAATTTTTAGTGAAGGCACATATTTTTGTGTTTTGTAACTTTATGGATACCCATGATACCCAGCTACCTCTTTTACCCTGTACCAACCCAACTGTGTCATTTTTTAAAGATAAATTACTTCGATCTCTTCATTCTTCCTTTTTTAAATAACAGGGTTTTGTTTTGCTTTGTTTTGTTTTGTTTTTTGGTACCCAGGATTGAACTCATGGGCACTTAACCACTGAGACACACTGAGTTGCTTAACACATCACTAAGTTGCTGAGGCTGCCTTTGAACTCATGATCCTCCTGCCTCAGCCTTCTGAGCCGCTGGGATTACAGGTGTGCTTCACTGCGCCTGGCAGCTTTATTATAATGCAATTTACATACATGCCATATAATTTGCCCATTTAAATTGTAAAATTCAGTGGCTTTTAGTATATTCACAGAGTTGTATAAGCCTCACCACAGTCAATTTTTATCACGTCAAAAAGAAACTTTGGGGGCTAGGGTTGTAGCCCAGTGGTAGAGCACTTGCCCAGCACTTATGGGCACTGGGTTCAATCCTCAGCACCACATAAAATAAATAAATAAGATAAAGGTATTGTGTTCATATACAACTAAAAATATTTTACAAAGAAATTACTCTCTTACATCTCTAACCCCAACCTTCATCTGCTCCTGTCCCTAAGCTACATCTGTTTCTATAAATAATGTATATTCTGTCCATTGCATATAAATGGAATCATAATATATGATCTGGCTTCTTTCTCTTAGCTTAATGTTTTCAGGGTTTATCCATATTGTAGCATGTGTCAGTACTTCATTCCTTTTGGTGGCCGAATAGTGTTCTATTGTGTGGATATGCCAAATTTTGTTACCTGTTTATTAGTTAATGGGCATTTTAGTTGTTTCCATGTTTTGGCTATTGTAGATAATATACTGTTGTAAACATTTATGCACAAGATTATGTGTGGACATGTTTTCATTTTTCTTGTTTCCATAAACATATGGAAATGAAATTGTTGGTTCAAATGATAATTCTATAGTTAGCTTTGAGAAAATGATGGACTATTTTCCAAAGTGGTAGCACATTTTAAATTATCACTAGCAGCATAAGTATTACAACTTATCCGGATGTTTGCCAACACTTACTGACATTTTTATTGTAATTATCTTTAAAGATCTGAAGAGATGTCTCATTACAGTTGTAATTTACATTCCTGTAATGTGTGATATTAAGCATCTTTTTTTTTTTTTTTTTTTTTTTTAATAGGGTACCAGGGATTGAACCCAGGGATGCTTAACCACTGTGCCATATCCTTAGCCCTTTTTGTGTTTTATTTAGAGACAGGGTCTTGCTCAGTTGCTGAGGCTGGCTTTGAACCCTCCTGCCTCTGCTTCCCAAGTCGATGGGATTATAGACATGGACCTTTTAAGCATCTTTTAACATGCTTCCCATTTGTGTATTTTTGGAGAAATGTCTGTTCATATTTTTTACTCATTTTTTAATTGGGTTGTCTTTTTAATCATTATGTTGTTAGGCAACTTTATATGTTCTGGATAGTAGATTCTTACCACATGTATGGTTTGTAAATATTTTTACCTATTCTGTGGATTGTTTTCACTCTCTTGATAGTACCCTTTGGTACTCAATTTTTTTTAATTTTGATGAAGGCTAGCTTATGTCTGTTTGGTTGTTTGTTTTTTCTTTAACTGCTTGTGCTTTTGTTGTCATGTTTAAGAAGCCATTCCAAATTTCTGTTTCTTTTCCAAATTTTATAGTTTAAGCTCTTGCATAGGTCTTTAATCCATGTGGAATTAATTTTGTATATAGTGTTTGGTGGGGTGCCCAACTTCATTCAGTTGCTTGTGGTCCAGTTGGCCTAGCATCATTTGTTGAGGAAACTATTCTTTCCTTGATGAATGATTTTGGCAGGCTTGTGAAAAATCAATTGACAGTAAATTTATTTCTGGACTCTTAGTTCTGTGCCTTTCATCTCTACATCTTTCCTGGTCCCTGGACCAAGGAAATTTGTATTGCTTGGTGGCAATGTTGAAATAAGAAATTGAGTCCTTTTTGTATTTCCTTTTCAGGATTGTTTCTACTTTTTAGAATCCTTGAATTTTCAAATGAATTTTAAGATTAGCTAATTGGTTTTACAACAAAGTCAGCCAGGTTCCAATATGGATTGCAATGAATCTGCAGATCAATTGAAAGTATTACAGTCCTACCAATATTAAGTTTTTTGATCTCTGGACATCTTTCCATTTAGATCTTCATTACTTTTTTTAATAGTACTATGTAATGTTTAGAATATAATTTTTTTATGTTTCTCTTATTTATTTCTTCATATGAATACAATTGTTGTCTTAATTCCATCTTTATTATTGTTTGCAAGTATGTGGAAATCCAGTTGAGTTTTGTATTTATCTTATATCCCTCAACCTTGCTAAACTTCTGTGTCCTTTTGAAATGTGTCCATTACTCTTTAACCACTTCCTAATTTCTCTGCCCAGCCCTGAATTCAGCTAGTAGTTTTAGGAACCTTGGTTGCTTTCTGTAGAGAATGATATTCAGAAATCAAGACCTGAGCTGACCTGCTCATTGTAAGTAGAGTGTCAGTATTCTTAGGTCCTCTCAGAGTACAAAGCTAGAAAATACATATGTACATGCACACATACACTTTTATGTCTGCATTTATTTGTATAATTCTTTAGGGCCTCACTGAATAGCTAAGGCTGGCTTTAAACTCACCATCCTCCCACCTCAGCCTCCTGAGCAACTGGGATTATAGGCATGGGCCACCACACCCACAGCATTCTTTCTTGATGGTACCTATTACAGTTGATAACATCTTAGATTTGAGGAAATGTAGTTATTTAGATATCTATATCTAGAGTTTAAGAAGATAAGTAAATTTGATTTAAGAATTTATATAACTTAACTCTATTTTTGAATGAATTGGTAATTAGAGTATGATGTATCTTTGTATAGTGAAGAACATGTGTCATCCCATGACCAGAGCAATAGAAGGTAGTATCTGCCAAATATAGCAAACATTTTATTATGTTAGATATTTTTAGATATTTATTATGTTGGGTATTTTAAGAAAACATGGATAAGCCAGGCACAGTGGCACATGCTTATAATCCCATTGGCTCACAACGTTGAGGCAGGAGTCTCGAAAGTTCAAAACTAGCCTCAGCAACTTAGCAAGATTCTAAGCAACTCAGTGAGGCCCTAAGCAACTCAGTGAGACCCTGTCTCTAAATAAAATGAAAAAGAGCTGGAGATGAGGCTCAGTGGTTAAGCATCTCTGGGTTCAATCCCTGGTACCCCAAAAAAGAAAAGAAAAATATAGATAAGCTATTTCAGAGCAATTTTGTATTTTGTTATTAATAGGATTTTGTTAATAATAAATATAACTTTATTAAGATACCTTTAGTAACCAAATGCCTAATACTTCTTCATAACTTTGTTCTCTTGGGGTGTGTGTGTGTGTGTGTGTGTGTGTGTGTTAGAGATTGAAACCAAGGTATTTTACCCTTTTTTATTTTTAGACAGTCTTGCTAAGTTGATGAGGCTAGCCTTGAACTTGGGAGTCTCGTGCCTCAGTTTTCTGAACTGCTATGTACCACTTAAACCGGTTTAGGATAATTTTCTTGATTGTCACTTATATATTTTATCTTTTAAAATAGGTTTCTTATCCTATTTTATTCATGATCATCCTTTATACTGCCCTATAAGAATGAAGTATTTTTGGTGTTTGTAGGATCTTCGGAATCAGCTCTACGAATCATATTATTTAAATTTTATTTCTGCTATTTCAAGAAGTAAACTGGAAGATATTGCAAATGCAGCATTAGCAGCTAGTGCAGTAACTCAAGTAGCCAAGGTAAAAGATTTTGGTCGATTGATAACATTTTGTTAATATAAAATGTAGCAGTGTTTTGAAAGCTGTTAATTGACATAGGTGTCTTATTTATAATGACCAAAACAACCTAAGAAATGTTTAGATGCAATGCTTTTAGAAAGAATTCTGATAATGTAAATTGTCTGTATCTTAAACTAGGTAAAATAAAGCAAAGTAAAGGAACCTACTTTTCAGTGAATACAAAAGACTGAAATAAAAAAACATCAATTTTTGCTTTGTATAGTTTTTAGCTTAATTTAGAAATAGTTTGAAATTGTGTGGTAATGAATTATGTTATGTTAATTGTATTAACATGGTTAAGAACTTTATTGACATTGTTTTTTCTAATCAGGGTAATTACCATATTATCACCAGATCTTTTCTTACTTAAGCAAGATGCTCCAAAGAGGCTATGTGTTATATTACAAAAAAAAAGGAATTCACAACAGGCCAGCAATTCTATACCATAGTGACTTTTTATCAGGTTCAGCTTTCAGTTATAAGTGAATTTGTGCAATATATTCCTGCTTTTGGCCCTGTTACACCCTATCCTTCTTGAATTTGAAGAAGATGTGAAAATTTTAGGGCACTATTTAGGCCATAAAAGTCTTAAGTATGCATTTTTCCCCCACTAATAGATTTTTTATTCTTAGATTTAGATAGTCCACTAGTGCTTCTTACTAGTTCTTGCGACTTCTTAATATTCTTGCTTGAAATTTCTCATTAAAAAATAGGAATAGTTTTCAATTGGCTTAGCTAAATTTAATATATTTCAAATAGTTTTATTAATTTTTCTCTTTATTTGCACCTCCAAAGACCTGGTATAAATTTTCCACACTATATTTTTTAAATTTGTGGTATAAAAACAATTACTATGACTTTCTTAGGAAAGTATGATTATAATGAACATAAAAATTAAAATTGTGATTTTTTTTTTCAAAATTAATATTCATTCCCATCATAAGCACAATTTAAATTTTTCTGCTAAAATTTTGATTTCTGAAAATGTTACTCTCCTCCCTTATACTTATTGTCCTAAAGCTTGTTTTTGTTATTTTTTTAATATTCTTAACCTCCTCTTTACCCAATTAGACAATCTTTGCACAGTTTTTTATTTAGTGAATGTAATTATGATGGTTTCCACTTTTGCCATTATTAGATTAAATCAGATTAAACTTTCTTTAAATATGGCTATATTATAAAATAGATACATAAACCTTTTCTTTTGTTTTTAGGTTTTTGATCAGTATCTCAATTTTATTACCTTGGAAGATGATATGTTTGTGTTGTGTAATCAAAACAAGGAGCTTATTTCATATCGTGGTATGTAAAAATAAGAATATTGCAATTCATTGTTAACAAAGTGAACAGTACAGTATATATAAAAAATAAGTGAACATGTGTATAATGTACTCTAAAACCAGATTTATTTACAACAGTGAGCTATTAAAAAATTTTTAAAGCACATAGAGAAAACAAGTCAGACTAAATTCTCTCATATATAAACATCTAATAAACTTGTTTTGTAAAGTTAGTGAAGTACCAGTTCTCTGACCTTTTAAGTGCTCCCATAGTAATTCATATGAATGGTTCATTCATACCAAGTAAGACACTATTTTAATTCAGGATAAAGTTAATTGCCTAGTCCTTACCTTAGAATAAGACACTTCACTTTTCCATACTTATAAAATACTAGCTCACATGATAAGCTCTCTAAGGAAATAGAGTATGAATCTTTTGGTTTTGTTAAGATCGGTAATATGCTATCTTTTCAAATTAAACAAAATCTCTAAAAGAATGTATTTGCTGAATTATCAGTGTGAGAGAATTTCTCTTTTTTTATAGTGGTTGTTATTCACAAAAGTACCCTTACAATTAATTGGTTTGTAAATTAATTAGCAACTTATTTAACATGTTTAAAACCTAATATTTCTTAAACGTTTAAGTTATAAAAATAGGCACCTTTACTTTTACCTTGATTAGTTAAATTGAACAGATTAAAGTCTCCTAATAATCAGAAAACTTAGTTTTTTAAGTTACCTTAAACATTTTGCATTATATCAATAGGTTCACTGTATTTTCTTTTTTTAAGTAATTCACATACCAGACAAGGCAAATTTATAAAATGATCAAGCTAAACTTGCCCAAATATTTAGTTAGTTCTTTTAAAAAAACTAAACTTGTAATCTAAAATTCATTAAGCATTCAAATATTAATAAATTTAAATTTTCCTATACCTGTCAACTTTTTCATAAAGATCACAAGTTTCAGTATAACACAGGTTTTTAATTCTGCCAGTATTTCAAAAAAATTTACAAAGGGTTATTAAAATGAGTTGGAAACCATAATCTAGAGCTTGTTATATAATTTATTAACAATAATATTATTAGTAATCATTCACCTGTTTTCTCAAAAAAAATCTCTGAAAACATAATTATTTCAAAGTTATCATAAATGGTTTATTTGTTGCTTAAGTTTTTTAAGTGTTTCATGAATGGGCTAATGGAACTAATGGATTAGTTACTAATTTAATCATGTAGCTAATCACCCAGACTCTCAATAATAATAGTAGTAGAAATTACTTGTTTTATGCCAGTCATTGTGTTAGCTACTTTATAATATAAGCCTGTTTACTCCTCAGAATAAGTTTGTGAGGTAGGTATTATTTCCATTTTCCATAGGAGAAAAATGAGGAATAGCTATTTAAAAAAAAAAAGCACCTTTACTTTTGGGTCAGGAAATAGCAGATAGTTCTTTTAACCAGTGAGTAATTGTATGCCAGATTCTCTCAAGCATTATTAAGTGCTTTAAACAAAATTTTAAACAGATATTCCTAAACATATTAATAACATGGATTTGATTTTTGGTCTTTTTAAATTCTGTGAATTGGTGAGTTATTTATCTAATAAAGGAGACAAATTTGTCCTCTGGAACTGAGACTGAGAAGAGAAATATTATCTCAGACAAAGTAGCTTGTTATCTCAAGTTGGATTAAAGTATTTGTGATTTTTAAGATTATTTCTCATTTATTGATGTGAAGCCAGGGTTTAAGATCAGAGGGCTGAATGCAGTCTCTAACTGTACCAGGTGTTTGACTGAATAAACCATAATTCATGTTTTCTGAAATCATAAATTTCACATTGTATCCTTAGGTCACATCTTTCATCTTAGTTGGATAGATATCATTCTGCAGCATCTTAGTAACAGCACATTTTCTTCTACTGGATTCTGTATACCTGATTGAATTCTTCATTATTTTTATGTTCTCTAGGTAGACCTCACTTTGTTTAGATACTTTGATATATCCAGTGGGTTCAGCTTTCTTCTAATGCTAACCACAAGTTATATCAAATGTTATATTTGTTTTTATGTTCAGAGTATTGGAAAATTTAAAATACTGTGTAGCCAGGCACGGTAGTACATGCTTGTAATCCAAGTAGCTCAGAAGGCTATGGCTGGAGGATCACAAATTAAAAGGCAGCCTCAGCAACTTAGTGAGGTGCTACACAACTCAGTGAGACCTGACCTTGTCCCTAAATAAAATACAAAAAAAGGGCTAGGATGTGGCTCGGTGGTTAAAAGCCCATGGGTTCAATCCCTGGTACCAAAATAAAATACCGTGTAGATAATATTTAGTTTAGTCAGTCTTTCCACTAGTACTTTGTCAGACAAAGGGTCTAAATATTGTGAGAAGGAGATAACTGAAAGTAAGTCAAGGTCTTTGACTGTCAGGGACATTCTTTGCAACAATTTTCCCTGGAGTATAGCCCCAAGTTCTGTTTGCATCATAACCCTCTAAGGTGCTTATCAAAATTAGTTTTCTTAGAATTACCTCACAGCTGTTGAATTGAATGCATGTAGGAAAATGGCTCAAAATCTTTAACTTGTTTTTATACCTTTTATTGTATGTATTTATTTACATGTGGTTCTGAGAATTGAACCCAGTGCCTCACACATGCAAGGCAAGTGCTCTACCACTGAGCAACAACCCCAGCCCCAGAATCTGTAACTTTTAAAAGCTTTCAAAGAATCTTTTTCTTCCTTTGTATTCCCAGGGTGATGATTATACCAACAAAAAGTTGGAAACTGTTTATGTTCAGTCTTGTAGATTAGAAAAGAAATACATTTAACTTACTAAAATACAAAAATATGTGGTGTTGGTTTTACCAGCATTGTTCTTTTATGATAGTAATTGATTAATAGGATATGTAATTTCTGGAAGCCATCTAGTGTTTATGAATAAAATCATGGAGCACAGTATTAATTTTATTACGTCTGGCAAAAATTCTGTACAGTTTATATAGTGAGAGGATTTGTTTTTACTACTATTCTAATAGTAAGGTAGGATTTTCTGTGTGTTTTGTTGTGTTTTTGTTTTTTGAGGTAGTGTAATGTTTAATATATACTTGTTTACTTAAAAAATGTTTATAGGCAGCTGGGGTTATAGTTCAATGTAAGATGCTTATTTAGCATGCATGAAACCCTGGGTTCAAACACAATACCTAAAACTTTATAGCAAAAAATTTTACTTGAGTGTTACAAGTGATATCAAACTGCATTTGAATTAATTTAAGGGTTTAATAAAGATAAGGCATAAGTTTTGTTCTTTTTTTTTTTCTCCTTTTCCTGTGTCATTGTAGCCATTAATAGGCCAGATATCACAGACACAGAAATGGAAACTGTTATGGACACTATTGTTGACAGCCTCTTTTGCTTTTTTGTTACATTGGGTAAGTTTTCAAATCTTTCTGGCTATTTCTTCAATGTAAATGAATTGTTTAACAACTCGTTTTAGTCAACAGCACCATTCTATGATCCTTTTATCCTATCTGAATCTCTAGAGGCTCTCCAGTTAGGGTACATTATATAAAAACATAATTCTTCTGATAACTTAATATTGTTATGCCTCTTGAATTGGTATTCAGCAGATGTTTTGAGTTGTCACCTTAGATAGCATGGTAATTGTGACTTTTTAATATATTATTTAAATTGTTGGTGGTAACTTCACAAATGTACCTGCTAATTTTCTTTTCATATTTTATTACAAAAAATTTCAAACATACTTTTTTTTTTACTTTAATAGAATTTCACTAAAAGAAATTTTAAAAACTGTAATGCAGGGGAAAGAAATAGACCTAGATACAAGTAAATGGAAACTACAAAAATTTGTGATATGCTAATGAAGACATATATAGTGAAAATTAATGTAAATATGTTTAAAAAAAAGATGCAGATACAGGAAAAAAGTATCCACAAGGTATTTGCTAAGTATTTAGATTATTTTGTTCTAAAAGAAAATTTTAATCCTATCTTTTTCTAATCAGTAATACACAAGCAAAATGCTCTTCAGTTCATTGTACACAAATGGAGCACAATTTTTGACATCTATGGTTTTACCCAAAGTGGGGTCACACCATTTGTGCAATCATACACGTATCTAGGGTAATGATGTCCATCTCGTTTCACCGTCTTTCCTACTTCCACGCCCCCTCCCCCACTCAAACATACTTCTAAGAGAAATGTGCTTGATAACTATTAAGGGAAATGCCAAAGCCTCTAGAAAACACTAAATTTGCTTGTAATACTAATCCACCTATGTTCTAAAATTTTTAAATATTTATTTGGATCATCTAAAATTACTGTTAAGCTTCATTATGTTTAAAAAACTCTATGCTTTATTGTTATTAATAGATCTGTTTATAACCCTAATTACAGTTTTAATTTTATAGATACTACAACAAATAAAATGATACTGACAGTATCATTTATAAAACTGAAAGTTTTACAAATGAGAAAATTAAAGAAGAGATATCATGTATAGTGTAGGATTTAGACAAATGTTTGAAAATTTGTTTGCAAAATTAGGGCTCCCTCCTTTAACTTCCAGCTCTGAACTCAGATCTTTGATTTCTCACCTCAATAATCTCCTGTTTTCTGCTTAGTCTTTTTTCTGTGTGCATGTAAAGTACCCTCAGGACAAAAGCTGGCCAAACATGTATTGCATCTCAAGTGATTCACTTCTTTGAAGAGTTTAATTTCTATCCACTTTCTGTCTGAGCTCTCAATGCCCTCAAATGAGTTGAGTTTGTTTTTGTTGTTGTTTTTTAAAGACAATACGTATGTATAACTAGTCATTAAACAGATAATTATCTTTCTATTTTGCCAGCCTATACTATCTCCAAATTTCTGCCTATTGCTAGGGGTATTGTGGGAATAAAGCTTATTTTTGTTTGGTGATGCTTATTTTTGCTTGGTGATAACTATGTTTTCAAAGTAAGGATAGATTAGAAAAGAGATGTATTAAGGCCACTGACGTGTTAGATAATAAAGGCCACCTTTATTATATATGGAGTGCCCAAAAGTGACTTTTCTCCTTCAAAGGAAAAATTGAAATTACTACTGCTCTGACCTAGAAGAATATTAATACTCAATTAAGGTGTGGGGGGGGGGGTAATTTTTCAGAACAGTATCTATAATATTTTTGTTTTTCATACATGTGCATACATACACAGGCTTATTAGATTATATTTAGAAAACAACCTAAAGGAGTCCATTTCAAGTTCTTAATGATGACTATTTGGGGTGGTGGCTAAAATTAAGACTTTCCATATTTATAATATAATTTAAACCTATATAACCTAGGCCATAAGAAGAAAACATCATTTTCAAAATCTTGCTAATATTCCATGTTTCTACATTAACAGTTGACAAGGTGTGTGTTCCTATAGAGTCTAAAGTGACACAGCTTCAACATGTGATCATTACAGTGTTTTTAGTTTGTTTCAGTAGATTTCCAATGCAATGATTTTGTCTGTTACTTTAATATTTCAGCCTTTACTAACATGTATTGCAATAATAAAGGACAAGAGAAATTAAGAAGTCCAGTGACTTGATTTGGTAATCAACTGAGGTGGCCCAATTTTAAGAACATTACACATGAAGAATATATTTTCTATTATCTTTTAAATTAGTGTTTTTTAAGAAGAAAATTCTCTGTTAAAAAAGATCCTCAGTTGTTAATTGGTAAAATAAAAAATTGCAATTCCAAACTGCAAAATTGGCTAAGGTCTTTTCATTCTTTTGGGTCAAATTAAACTGAAGTCTTCAAGAGTAAACTTATTCTTTGAAACTATCTGCAAAAGGTCAAAATGTTGATTTAGTCAATCTATTGGGGGGTGGGAGGGAATCAGTGACACTGATTAGGTTACTTAAAAAATGTTTTTTTCATGATCCGTGTTTTCTTTATTAATGAGAAGGTTCATTTCTGAAACATTACTTTTACTCTTGAGATTATAAATCCTTTTATGTAGCCTGAAATTATATACATCTATTTATTATATATTATGTTTTTTGTTTTGTTTGGGTTTTGTTGTTTTTGTTGTTGTTTTTATTTTGGCAAAGTGTATATATATATATATATATATCTCAATCACATAAATTTACCATTTTAACCATTTTCAAATGTTTTTCTTTTTATGTATGTTTTGATGATGTATTTTATGAACATCCATTTTAATTGTGAGCCAAGATCATCACTAACATTTATTGTTAAAATAGGTGCTGTTCCTATCATCAGATGTTCAAGAGGAACAGCAGCAGAAATGGTGGCTGTGGTGAGTTTATGCAAATTGTACTTGAATATAAATAATACTGTGTGGATTGTTTCCCCATAAGTACCTCATGTGGTTTTGTTAATATTAAGCATTTGATTATTATAGGTTATATATTAAGTACCAGTGACATACTTTTGTTTTATTATATTTGGATTCCACAAAAGATAAAAAAGTAATCATTTTTGTACTTCTATGTGACAAATTATTTACTCTAATGTACTACTCCAGCCTATTTCTTTTTTTACTAAAATATAAATTCCTCATTCAGCTTTGTATCTCCAAGCAGTATTTTACACTTATTTTTCTCCCAAATCATTTAATATTTAACTTCACTGAGCAGTATTTATTATGAAACCTGACCATTTTTAAAATAGTGAAGTACATTTTAAAGCTAACCCATTCTCAGAGTAAAATATTCAGTATAAGTTGAACATTTCACAAATTTCCTTTAAAGATTAAGGGAAAAAAAAGATAAAGAATTTCTGAAAAGGAAAAAGGCAAGTGTTATGTAAGATAGGAAAACACATTAACATTTTGTAAGTAGTATTATCCCAAATGAATCACTGACTAATGGAGGGCTGATTTCCTGTATATTCTTTATTTCTTGGGCCTGTCGCACCCTACACTATTCTTTCTATTCCCACCAACCCAAATGAGCATTTTCTTTGTGTAGACATCTTCCTTGGAACAACAGAGCCATGCTTAGGAAGAGAGGGTGAGTCATTATTGCGAAGTGTTTCCTGTACCGAAAGTAAAATTTGTGAAAAGTGCATATTCATGAAATGACCTGAGTCACTGTAAAAAAGACATTGATATTTTTCAAACGAAAGTTATAATGATAGTAAATAGTTAAGCTAAAATATTTAAATTTTAGAATTGCTATTTTATAAAGAAATTCTAAACTTCTTGGTTATGAGACTTAAGAATAAAGTAAATTTCCCTACATAAAAAGTTAAAAGAGAGTTTTGAGTTAATTTACATTTTGATTTTTCAGAAACTAGATAAGAAACTTCGAGAAAATCTAAGAGATGCCAGAAACAGTCTTTTTACGGGTGACACACTTGGAGCTGGCCAATTCAGGTATTATGTTAGTTAAATACTTACAGGACTGAAAATAAAACATGTAGAAGTTTTGTTATTTTTCTTGTATAATAGAGTACCCTTATCCTTATAGTAGGAATTTGTTTCTTTTTAATCAGGATCAGAGTTTTGACTCAGATAGTTCTTATTTATAAAAATGGAATTTTTTATTCAAACTATCTTCTTTTGATAGAAATTTCTATTACATCTTATCATCTAAGAGAAATTTTTCTGTTTTATATGATCTTGAAGTTCAGAGCCATTTCAGTTATCATTAAACCGCATGATAATTTAAAAAGTGAGAAACTTTAAATACTTATATTTGTTTCTATTTTTATTATTAAATTTCTGTTTTTACATTGCAATACTAATAGCTTATGTTTGCAAAGTATTTCTGTCATTGTTAACATTTCTAGCATGTGTTAGTAATGCTAAAGTCACTGCTTAATTATTAGTGTTGTATTATAGTACATTTTGATTATTAGTAGTAATGGAGAATGTTGAAATGTAGTAAAGAAACCTGCTCAAAACAACAAAAAATTGTTTTGTTTTGTTTTTTGTGGTAGTGGCCCATGGATGCTCTATCACTAAGCTACATCTCAGCCCTTTTTCTTTTAAATTTTGGGACTAGGGCTTGCTACATTGCCCAGACAAGCCTTGGACTTGCTCTTGCTTCAGTAACCAAATATCTCTAGGATTACAGGCATGCACCGCTATGTCCAGAATGCTGAGAATTACTTATAAAGAAGAGACAATATTTTTGGAAAATTAATTCTTACTCCCACTTTGGTGAACTAATGAGCTAGTGGGATGAGGAGAAGTCCAGTGAAATGACTGCCCACTAGCAATACAATTTCATGATAAATGTTCATATATTTTATTTCAATTCAATTTTGATGGTTTCTATAGTCTTATATACTGCTGCTATAATTCATAGTTCACTCTAACATTGTGTTTCAATTGCTTGGCCATCTTTATTCCCACATTATTTTAGATTGTTCTCTGATTTAATTGCTGGTCCTAAATATTCTTCAAAAATTTTCTCATTAAGCAGAGCAGAAACATCACATTTTCACCTGATTTTTGTAACCAGAAGTAGACATTATATTATCCTTACTTAATAATTGCCTTTTCATATAGCTGGGGCATAAGCCTTAGAAACTAACATCAAGGCACTATTTTTTTAAAAAAATTTATTCATACTACAATATATTTGTCTTGTTTCTTAATTTGTTAGATGTGTTTTATTTTATTTTAATCAGCAATTTGTTGGACTGTTGTTAAATATACTCGAATCTACCCATAAGCTAGTGATTCTCAATCAGGGCACCTTTTGTACCCCACAGACATTTTGTGCAGAAACATGTCTGGTCGTCACAACTGGGTAAATGCTACTGGAATTTAGTGACATGCAATGCTAAACTTCCTATAAGACAAACCTTCATAATGTCAGTAGTGCTGAGGTTAAGAAACGCTGCTATATACCATCCTCCCTTGCCTTCAACCTATCTCTGGAGTAATCAGTAATAGCAGGGGATGAAGGTGCCACTGTGACTGCCCAGTCAGTACAGTGGGCGTAAGTCCACTGACCTATGCCCAGAAAGGTGTAATGAGTTAGTAAAATGATCAGATTTATCTTGCAAAAGGAAATGTGTATACTTAATATACTCAGATAACAGTGACTTTTGAAACCTGGAGTGTACTTCTTTCTGATAAGAATACCACCTCTGAACAGTATCTCTAAAACTTCTATAGACATCTGGTAACCAAATGACTTTGTGCCTCTATTTGCTTTTAGTCTGTTCCTTACCTAAATTGTAATATAAAGTGTGTATGCCTTGTCTGTTAAGTGAGTACTTATATAATTAAGTACCATTGTGGCTTAACTTTTTTCATTTAGTATATTATAATGGGATATGGTTTTTTGAGACTCTTTTCTAGAGTCCACTATTTTGGATTTGTATTTATAAAAAAAAAAAAGTTGTAATTCATAACTTGTTAAACTGTCAAACATCTGTGTAAATTTATAAGATTCTGCTCTTTTTCATTTTTTTTCCTGAATCTGATAATATTTATTCCTTTTTGCCCTTTTTTGAAAAATGTGAAACTTATATGAGAAGACCAGCAACTTATTTTAACTACAAAAATTATTTTGTAAAAGTATTTGTACGGATTATGTCCTTGAAGAAATTTCCTTGAGTAATACAGTCTAACATTATGCATAGGTTCTAAGTAATCCAAATCATTACCATAATTGACTGAATATATTCAAAAAATATTTTAAAGCAGAGTATTATGGAGTTCAAAATCAGCATATTGTTTTTATCAAAATGGCATACACTACATAAAGTATTAGAAAATTTTAGATGTATACATTGCCATCAAGATTTATATAATTTTTTTTAATATATTTACAGCTTCCAAAGGCCTTTATTAGTCCTTGTTGACAGAAACATAGATTTGGCAACTCCATTACACCATACTTGGACATATCAAGCACTGGTGCATGATGTACTGGTAAGAGGCTAAATGTAGCACCCATTACTGAAATGTGGTAATGTTTGAGTTGATATGGCTACAGAAACAAAGTTGTGAAGGATAAAGCTGAAAAATATGAAAAAATAAAATTAATGATGTTGATGCTAGAGAATAGTGAAGAATTAAAGTTTAAAATTCCAAATTTATGATCTTTATTATAGGATAAATTCATGGTATTGTTGACAGTGACGGGAAAAAATAATACAGGAAAATGAACAACCATGTTTTTAGTTGTTAATTTTTCATACTCAGTAAATTTTATCAAAATTAAAAGATGAGCTTTCCCTAAGGAAAAAAAACTGTAATTTCTCTCATTTCTGTAGGAGTCAGTTAAACCTCATTTTATGCTAAAATAAATAACTTTTAAAATATGTAATACTATATGTTTTCTGAAATAATTCCCTATATCTAATTTTATACTTAAAATTAAAAAAATTATATTTATCTATACATATGTTCATCAGTTGAATATTGTGTTTAGCATGTGATGTACACAGATAAATAAAACACAGCCTCTATTTTCAAAGGCAGTAGAAGGAAAGAAAATATATACACATATAATTTCAAGACACTGTAATAGAATGAGAATAGTCTCCATTTGATAGAAAATCAAAAGAAGTTTAAGAATTTGAACCCAAATCATTGACTCTAGTATCAGCACTCTAGTTTACTAACTCCTAGCCCAGTCCTTTATGGATTATAGTATATAACAGTATCATTTTAAAAAGATTGCCTGGAATGCACATAAACAGGAAATGAAAGATATGTAATAGATGATTTGGCTTAACAGTTCATTTCTTTGAAATCTAGATATTGCTCTAAAGGGTTTGTTTCAATAAATCAGCTTTAAAATTACTGGCAGAAATTGGCCATTCTACATAATTCTTGGTCCTAGAATCCTATGCCATGACTCTAGAATGCCAAAGAAACACCAACTCAGTAGAGAGGGTGGAAAGAATCAGGAGAACTACCAAATTAAACCCCGAATAAGACATAGAAGCTGGTGGTAGTATGTAAAGTAAAAGGTTGAGTAAGACTGATTCAGTTTAACTCAATTCAGTAATTGAGTGCCTACTCTTTAACAGACATTTTAGATCCTGATGACAGCAATAACAAAGACACAAGTATTCCTCTTTCTGGAGCTTACATTCTAGTAAGAGATAAGAAGTAAAATAAACATTTCAGAAGGTGGAAAGAGCTGTGGAGGAGAATAAAGTAGATGATGGTGAATAGGATTGAAATTTTTAAATAGGGAAGATCTCTCTGAGGAAATGATATTTGAAAAAAGATCTAAAGGAGGTAAGGGCTATATGATTATACAGCTATTTAGGAAAAGAACAATCTAGGCAGAAGGGCTCCAGATACGTTTGAAAGATGGGAAGGCAGGTAGGTAGCTGCACTAAAGTAAGAAATAAGGTTAAATAGGACACAGGAGACTGTATAACACAAGACATCTTAAAGATGTTGACTTTTAATTTGACAGAGAATAGGAGCAGCTACCATTTTGAGTAAAAGTGACATCTATATATATTTTAAGATGGAGGCTATTGGAATTATTTAAGAAAGAAATAATGGTGGCTTTCAGCAGGATGGAGATGGTAAGGATATGATTATCTGATGACTATAAAGTATAGAATTGTCAGTGAGTTGAATGTGAAATCTAAGAGAAAGACCTTAAAGTTGACTTCAAATTTGACCTTTGCAAATGGAAAAATGTTTATTGGATGGAAAAGAAATGGAAGGGGGTATAAGATCTGATGGCTAAGAAGTCACCATTGCATGCAGCAGTGTTAGGGTCTTTTGGTGACTTGGGTATCCCACAGTGCAGAGCAAAACAATGACCAAAGTGACTTAAAAAGAGATTGGAAGGAGAAACATTTTAAAACCTTTAAAGATTTTTTTTTTTTTTTTCCCCTGTATAGGACAGCTGAGAAAGGCAGTGATTGCTGGATGGGTAATTTGAGTTTAGAAAAGGTTTTTAACTGAAAGACATTTGTGTACCAATGAGAATAATCAAAGAGGAACTGAATTAAAGCAAATTACATCCCATGCTTTTATAATTACGTCAAAATGAATCCTAATATTATGTACAACTAAAAAGAGCCAATAAAAAATGATTTACAATTTTTTTAAAAAGTTAATGATGCAGGAGATGCGAATGTACTGCAGGTGGCAGTGGTGAGTAATGTAGACCAGGATTTCTCAACCTTGGTTTTGGACCTGATCATTCTTTGTTGTGGGGGCTATCCCATACATTGTAGAATGTTTAGCATCAACCCTGGCCTCAATCCTCTATAATAGCGCCAATAGCATTCCCTAAGTTGTGAACCAAAGTGTCTTCACACATTGCTAAACATTCCTGGGGATGGGGGGTCCTAGAAGGAACAATTTTGTCCCTGATTGAGAACCACTATTACAGGCTGATAATCAGAGTTTCAAAACTAGAATTGTTTTAGAGAAGAGAGTAAGTAAAGGATATTGGAGTAGCAAGGAAAATATCTAATCCAGTTCTAAGACCAGTGATATGAGCTGTGTAAGAGGTTTAAAAACAAACAACAGAAAAGTATCTTCTCAAAAGTCTAAAAGGGCTAACTAGCTATTTGGTATTCACTTAGAGCAAAAAAGGTACGTAAGTTGGCAGGGGGTGTTCAAAATGGGAGGTTTTGTTGGTGACTGAGTGTGAGTTTCAGAAGTTATAACAAAAGAATTTCAAGAGTTGGGTGAGAATGGGAGATGAGATATGAGGATGTCAGGGGCTAAGGAGTTAATAGGCTTAGTGAGAAAGTTTTAATTGTCTCCAACCATACTGGTTTGTGGAGCTGTGACTATTGAGTAGGAGCAAGAGGTGAGGGTCTTAGTGAGAGTGTACAGATTAGAGGTCACCTCTTCACTCTTGATGGTTGTGAAATAGAAATTATCCAGATCACTGAGATATTTAGGAATCATTTCAAATTCCTGAACTTGAAAGGTTCCTGACACCTTCTTGACTTCCTTCATGGAGGAAGTTAAAACATAAGATGCTGTGAGTACAGGAGATGAGGCACAGGTACAAATAATTTCAGTGTAAAGAAATATGCTGAGTCTTCTGTCAGAAGAGAAAACTGAGATACGTAACTTAGGGCAGAGATTCCCAATACAGAACACTGCTAACTAATTCAGGTCCTTGATGAGGTTTCACTGTTCCAGAATGAAATGAGAATAATGAGGAGTATTAAGAGATTTTAAATTGGCTGATACACTAATTTTTATTTCCTAGTCTTTAAAATCAAAATTTTTTCTATAAATAAAAAATGATGAAAGAAGACAACAAGGGTTGTTTTTGTTTTAATCTTCACATAGTAAAAAGTTGTCAGTCTTTGAAGAGTTTGGTTATAATAAATGCACAACTTACAGTGACCTAATTCTTTTCATTAATTTTAAAGCATTTTCTATATGTGAACAATAACCATGTTGTTTAAAAACCACTACTTTTTAAAGTTTCTTCAGTGCTCTTAAAATTCCTAATAATTATACCCTTTGCCTCCACAAGATAGAGTAGAAGTTCTAGATAGAAAATGTTAACTTAAATGTTGCAGTTTGCTTTATTTATCAAATATCTTTGTCTAGAGGGGTTGGGGTTGTGGCTCAGCGGTAGAGCGCTCACCTAGCACAGGAGAGGCCCTGGGTTCGATCCTCAGCACCACATAAAAATTAATTAATTAATTAATTATATTGTATTCGACTACGACTAAAAAATAAAGATCTTTAAAAAAAGTATATCTTTGTATAGAAATCTGGACCATTGATAATTATTTATATATTAGAGCCCGAAATCAACAGCGAAAATTTAGACATATTTCCTCTGTGTACCAATGAGAATAATCAAAGAAAGATGATTGTTTTCACTTAAAATAGGAAGTACACCCTTCTGATGAAAAGCTCTGTAATGCCCCTTTCCTTGACAGGACATAAAAAGTAAAATTAACAATTAGAAAATAGTGATTTCTTTTTTACTGTATCTTGGTTGTGGGAGGGGTGGATTTGATTGTTAACTGCAAAGAGTGCTAATTACCCTCAGTCAGAGGGGTGGATATTTCATCTTAGTATCTTTGTCTTTTCAAAGCTTGCAGTTTCTTTTTATATCTTTTTGTCTTCTGCTGACTCTTGCTATTTGAAACATTAAATCAGAATTTATACTAAAATATATAGGTAGTTTAATAAAATATATATTTTTGCCACTCAATACAACAGGAATTTGTTTCCAAATAAATATTTATTTTTAAAAGATTATCAGAAAATCAACACCCATTCTCTTAAAGATGTGTAATTGCACATCTATTCTATTCTATTCCCTAAAGACCTAAAAAGAGCATGCTACAGGGACACTGCTACATCGATGTTCATAGCAGCACAATTCACAATAGCAAGACTGTGGAACCAACCTAGATGCCCCTCAATAGACGAATGGATAAAAAAAATGTGGCATTTATACACAATGGAGTATTACTCTGCATTAAAAAATGACAAAATCATAGAATTTGCAGGGAAATGGATGGCATTAGAGCAGATTATGCTAAGTGTATGGGGTAAAAACGGGAGTTCATAACCCACTTGAATCAAAGTGTGAAATATGATATATCAAGAACTATGTAATGTTTTGAACAACCAACAATAAAAAATTTTAAAAAATTAAAAAAAAAAAAAAGATGTGTAATTGCAATGCCATAGTATAGGTTGATGCTTTGGGTCCATGGTTGATGTTCTTTTGATCTACTAATCTTTATTACTATAAAACCTCATGGGCAGCTACTGTGGTAGCCTAGTTTTATTTTATTTTTTATTTTATTTTTTTTTTTTAATTTTTTATTGTTGGTTGTTCAAAACATTACAAATTTCTTGACATATCATATTCCACACTTTGATTCAAGTGGGTTATGAACTCCCACCTTCACCCCATACACAGATTGCAGAATCACATCAGTTACACATCCATTGATTTA